GCAAGAAAGGTAATTATCATTGAAATTGTCCTAACTTTACCCATTGTTTGTATAAATACCCAAGTATTTAACATCTTTAAGAAGCCGCCTTTAAAGGTCCAAGGAAAGTTCAAGCTTTTCCCCCCCAAGAGATTTGTGCGTGTTTGTTCATAAAGTGTCCGTGAAAATCTTGTTACAATCTCAGCGTTAAATCTGAGCCAAAATTTGTTGACTGCCCCAGGCTTAGACCCTCTCCACTCTACTCTACTCCACTTTCTTGGCCACTTAACCCACTGTAGTTAAACCACCCCGCATTCAGCTATCTGGACTCTATTAAAAATGCTTACAAATGCGCTTAGCAGCCGGGAAATAAATCTCCATATGTAAGATGACAGCTTGGGACCTCCAATTCCAATTCCAATTCCGATTCCGATTCTGAGAGCCGATCTGGCTGTCACTTAAAAACCATAAATAACTCATGTCCCGCCGCTACATTTCGATTCCTGTCGATAGCTATCGCCGGGCCAGAGAGAACGAGATTTGCGAGCCGAGCAGGAGATGTGCCCTGATTTTATTTGGTCAACGCCAGGAGCAGCTGACGCCACTCACATGGCATTTTCCGAGGGGAAAGTCAGTGGAAAGGTCCTGGCAAAGGAATCCAAATACTTAGGATACTATATTTTACAATCGCTCAAGTGTATTTCCTTTTTTTATTTATATTTTTTCGGGGATTTGTTTCAGATTTAGCGTACCTATCGAACTCTAAACCTGCCAGAGCTTCCACAGAGTCTTCAAGACCTTTATAATCATAAGGTTGCTTTAAAATGATTAACTTTTAAGTAATATGTTGTTTAAATATTTTTACTTTTTTTTTTACTCCTCAGAACAACTTTTGAATCCAAGTATTTCGTAGCAAATGGATTTTGAATTTTAAATGAATTCTAACTCATTTCCTACATTTATATAATTTGTATACCCTTAAAGGGCATTCTCATTTCAGTCTGAAGCTTGTAATGATTTAAAGGAATCATTTCCGACACTATATTCCATATAGATTCTTGATCAGCACAAACAGGCGCATCTTTCTAGACACAAAGGAGGAAAATTAATTTTTGAAAAAAATTTTCCTATTTTTTTAGGCCTTTTTTTCATTGTTCAAAATCGACAAAATTTGAAATAGTTTAAAAATGTAATTTGAGTATGCAGATTTATAAACTCATTAAAAACTAAAACAGAACAGCTTTCCTAATCGAAATTAATGCATTTTTGTCTTAGTTATGACTTTTTTAAGATTTCATATGTAGAACAAATTGTCATATAAAAATATCGAAATATCGACTTAAAAAATGGTATTGTAATTTTAGTCAGAAGCTTAAAAAGGAGTGAAGGAGTAATTTCCGACCCTATGTTCCATATATATTCTTGATCAGCATAACCAGGCGAATCTTTCTAGACATAAAGGAGGAAAATTAATTTTTGAAAAATTTTCCTATTTTTTTTAGGCCTTTTTTTCATTGTTAACGATTTCAAAAAACGACAAAATTCGAAATAGTTTAAAAATGTAATTTGAGTATGCAGATTTATTAACCCATTAAAAACTAAAACAGAACAGCTTTCCGAATCGAAATTAATGAATTTTTGTCTTAGTTATGACTTTTTTAAGATTTCATATGTAGAACAAATTGTCATATAAAAATATCGAAATATCGACTTAAAAAATGGTATTGTAATTTTAGTCAGAACCTTAAAAAGGAGTGAAGGAGTAATTTCCGACCCTATGTTCCATATATATTCTTGATCAGCATAACCAGGCGAATCTTTCTAGGCATAAAACAGAGAAACAAATTTTTGAAAATGTTTTTCAATGTATTTTCAGCCGTTTTTTACATCATTAACATTCTGAAAAATCGACAAAATTTGAAATAGTTTAAAAATGTAATTTGAGTATGCAAATTTATTAACCCATTAAAAACTAAAACAGAACAGCTTTCCTAATCGAAATTAATGCATTTTTGTCTTAGTTATGACTTTTTTAAGATTTCATATGTAGAACAAATTGTCATATAAAAATATCGAAATATCGACTTAAAAAATGGTATTGTAATTTTAGTCAGAAGCTTAAAAAGGAGTGAAGGAGTAATTTCCGACCCTATGTTCTATATATATTCTTGATCAGCTTAAATAGGCGAATCTTTTTAGGCATAAAACAGAGAAACAAATTTTTGAAAATGTTTTTCAATATTTTTTAAGTCGTTTTTTACATCATTAACATTCTGAAAAATCGACCAAAAATTGATATAGTTTAAAAATTCAATTTTGGTATGCAGACTTATGAACCTATTAAAAACTAGAACAGAACAGCTTTCCGAGTCAAAATTAATGCTATTTTGGCATAGTTACGGCTTTGTAAAGTTTTGATTTTAAAATAAATTGTCATATAATATCGACTAAAATAATGCGAATATTTAAAATAGTTGGAATGATAAATTTGCCAAAATTAGTTTCTTTTCTTGTTTTAAATGTATTTGTTTGGCACATGTTTTAATTTTCTAGTCACCCGAAATAAACTATTTACTTTTTCTGCCTTAAAACAATCATAAAAGTGAGGGTAAGAAGAAAGCCTACTATGTGCGTTGTGTTATCACAGTTAAAAAAGTGCGTTACTGACTTTTTAAGTGCGTTTTTTCTAAGCTGCTGCGAGACTTTAATGTCGAATGGGCGATGACGAAATGAACTTGGTTAGTGGGTATGGATATGGTGGGATCTGCCAAGAAAAGAATGGCATGGCAGGACGCGTTGCAGCAGTTGTGATTTCACTAATTTGTCGTCGTGTTGACTGTCAAATTGGATGCCATGTGTGGGTGTCATTAATGTCAACCAACCCCCGGAGAAGATCCGGCAGAGCCCGCAAACAGACGCAGACAGAGAGACGACTCATTAATGCCACTCATCAAAACTATAACGAATGTTGAAGGGTCCACCGACCGACCGGAGCCGGGGGAATCCGGGGGCTTTGGCTCCCATCTCCGGCGCGAGACGACACATGAATATCCTGACACTATAAATTTGGGTTAGGTTACCCCCGCCACCAAGGAATCCAGGACACGAGCAGCGGCGAGAGGAGAGACACATACGAGGACGACGGCGGGTGAAATGTGTTTTTGTCCTGATGACGCTGCTGATGGCATTTGTCGCCGTTCTCTGGCCATTTTCATTTTCATTCCATTTCCATTGCCATTTCCACGTCCTCGTCCTGTTCGTTGTCGTCCTTTTAACCCCCGTCACATACGTATCCATATATACATATAGGCATTCTGCTATTTTCGCGTAAATTGCTGCTAATTTTGTTTATCGCAGGACAATTATCCAAGCGAACGAACTGACAAATGAGCCGCACACTTGCTGCCGCCCTTTCCTAGCCCAAAAACAAACCCAAATCGTCCTGTGTGATAGTTATATCTGTGTGTGTGTGTGTAGAGTCCTTGTTTCGGCTCAAGGTGTTGTTGTTGGGGCCATCGATTGGGTTAAGGATCAGGTCATCCCTGTACAGAGTCATTATATATAGTGAGTGAGTTATTTAAAACATATAATAATAAGGATATATAAAAATGCGAGAGGATAGTCTCAATGGTCTCAAAATTAAACCAAACTCTCCTCCTAGCTATATATCACAACTATAAAAAAAACATAAGCTGACATTCCCACAATGGACTTTCCCCACCTATTTCCTACCTATTTATTTATTTTCGCATCGCTACCAGCCGTTTAACACTAACTAAGCCGCTTACTTGCCCGGCGACTTCTAAAAACACAACAAAGGAAAGCGGCCCAAAAAAATAAGAATAAAACGAGGAAAATAATGCGCACTGTCCCTGTGAAAAAAAGAAACGATAGAAAAGAAAAGAAATGAAAAGAAAGCGGTCCCACGAAAATGGGAAAAACGGGAGGAAGGACTGTGGGTGGTGGTGGCTCGGTGGCTCAGTGGCTTGGTGACTCTTGGTCGTTTGGCGGTTGCATGGGGCGGTGCGCCGGCCAAGTTAAGAAATCAAACAGCTGACATAAATAACATTTTAATTTAAATACGGTGCAGGACACAACAATATTTTTTTGCCGTTAAGGTAAGCAGAAGGTACAACAATAACAACGGGGGAAAAATCCGGCAAGGAAAAAAACGCGAGCAGAAAATACATATTTAAACAGGATCTCCTCCTGCGCCCGAGAAGCAAACAAAATTAAGCAGGCGAGGGTGTTGTGTGTGCAGCTGGGGGAAGACGACATTGGGGAAGTAAATTTTATTTTAAAATAAATTTATCGCCTTATCCGTTGTCCACGGCAGCCGCGGCAGGAACAGCTTCGGCTTCTGCCAGTCATATACTCACTCACAAAGGGTATTATGCTTAGATTACAACCGAATTCAATTTAAGAACTCTCTAAGTACTCGAAATGTATTTAAAAAATATAGAGAATTGTCCCTTGGGAGACGCATTTTGATTGTAGATAAAAAACTGCGCCTAGTTTGGATAGAAAACTAACTTTTAGCTTTATTTGATTAACATAAATACAGATACCTAATCCAATTCCCTTTCTTTTAATTTAAGTAATCATAAACACAGGATTTATAGGAATACTCAAGGAACTCAAACCAAATTTCAATTGCCTTTCTATTTACTTAGAGTATTCCTATCTTCGGTGCAGACTTGCATAGCTTTTTTCTACATCTTTCACTGTATGTTTGCCCCAAAGCGGCAATTGCCGGACAGGCAAGGAACACATGATCCCGGCGGAATGGCAATGGAAACTGGGAACTTGGTGGTTGGGCAAGTGCCACCCGCTGGCAGCTGGACAAGGACGAAAAAGACTCCGCGGATGCCAGTGCCGAGCGGAGTCCCAGCACGAGAGCTTCATTTGAACGAAATGAAATCATAATGAGATTTTTGCGTTCGTTTTTTGTCGCCGCAGAGAGCGGCAGGCGGCGAGGGAAGCCATGGGAGTGGGAAGTGGAATAGGAAGTGGGATTGGAAATGGTAATGGGATGGTCGGAGGACGGACCACGGACCACGGAGGACGAAGTCAACCTGCGGAAGCAGCAATTGCCATTGCCATGGCGCGTAATGACAAAAATTCATAATTGGATAAAGGAGCGGACGTGTGCCATAAAGAACTTGGGTCCTGGACACCGGTTTCCAGATTGAAATTCAACAGCTTTTAAAGATGGGCCAATGCTAAGCATAAGCATTCTTTGATAGCTAATCGAATTCTACAAATATTTATTAGAAGAGAAGCAAACAAAAGCACTTAATTTCGAGGCTGTAAATGGAGGTATTACAATTTTAGTGAGATGGTGCAAAGGGTTACAGCATTTCAATTCCCTATTTGTATATTCACATTACATTAATAGCTTTAAACTAACTTAAAAAGGAAAACAGGCTAAATGTGATGGTGGGGATTACAGAGACCCGACCGAATCGCGGCTAATAAACCACAATTTAATGGCATTCCTGGCAATTTGTGTGTGTCCCTCCCTCCGCCTGCTTCAGGACAGACTTGGCTCCCCTTTCTTTCCCGTTCTTTGGGACAATTGTGCACTTGATTGTTACCGGCTTGTTGGGCAGCCAACAGGCCGGATCATTCCAGGCCCAGGCCCAAGCCCAAGCCCAGGCAATCCGCGTACCGACTGCCATATGGCTAACAATATCCTTGTTGCTCCCCGGCCTCTGTGCCTGCCCCCATTGTTGATGTTATTGTTGTTAATGCAAATGCCAGGCATTCGAATGCACTGGCGCGTAATCCGCAGCCGGCAATCGAGAGAGGAGAGTCTTGAGAATGCACTTGACTTGAAATGAAAGAATCGGAAAAGAGCACACAGAACAAGGCACAAAAAAAAAAGAAATGAAGGTGGGTCACGCCCTCCAAAACAGCCAGCAAAAACACAGGAGAAATGGGAGGAAAATAATGAAAAAACAAACGAGAAAAACAAAAATAAAACCACAAAAACAAGAAGCCAATAAAAAAAACACCAAGCAAAAGCCACACAAAAAGTTTGCTTTTATATATCTTCCATAAATATATTTGGGTCTCCTTTCCATAAATGAATCCAGTCTTTGAAATCACTTTAAAATATCTTCTAAATATTAAGTTTAATAACTAAGTCAAAAAATAACAAGTTTGAAAGCCTAAAGTTAATATAGAGCAGGTGCCTGCACAGGGAAAGCATTAAACATGTTTCCTATCTCAATTGAATTCATAAAATATAATGGTAAATCAAAGCATAATCTGGCTTAGGAAGAAAGTCAATTCAATGAAAAGCATAAAATATATGATATATTTCTAGCATACATTATTTTTTAGCTGTCAATAATCTCTTTCTAAAGTCGAAACAGGAAATAATATTAATATGAGCAAAAAGAAAATCATATCTTGAGTAGTAACAAATTCAAAAGTATGATGTTTAATTAAATCCCTTTGCTGCAAACTCCTGGGCATTCCATTACACTTTTTCTTTTTTAGATTTCATAGTTAATGCCTGCTGCATTCAATGTGGATTTAATCGTGCTGAATAACTGAATCTGGCACTGCCTTTTCGCCCGTCTGCTGTCATTGGGTAATTGTATTAACTACAGATGTAGCCTGTACATGCTGTACATCGGTGCAAGATCTAGGGGAAGATGCTTGATGGGAGCTGAGAGCTGGTAGAAGGGGCAGCATCAGCTGCCACAACTAATTAGCTGGGGGCCCACATGCATAGGCAAACTGCGTTAATGGAGTGCGTAATGGGTTAATTTTGGCCCAGCAATTCCCCCCATTTTGGCTCTCTCCCTCACTCTCCCGCCTCCTCGTCTGTCAATGTTTACACTTTTGTTTAGCAAGGACGGGCTAATGGGTGGTGGTTGGTGGGTGGTGCTGCTGCGTGTCGACGTCACAGTCAGCCTAAGTCGGATTCCGGATTCTGAATTCTGAATTCAGATTCAGCAGCAGGCAAAGCCGCGCTCTGACGACAAGTTAATCACATCGTGTCCAATCAGGCGAGCTAATCCCTCTGACAGGCATCGACACTGCCTCATCCCCAGCCTCATCCTCATGCTTCCAACTTTGATATTCCACTGGGCGCACTTGTGCGAGAAGAGTCCAATGACTTTGGCAACTATTTTGGCCAAGTTCCCTCTTTAGTTTCTAAATAATAACAATACAAACATAACCTTAAAGCTTATATAATAGTGTTGTATAATGCTATAGAAGTTTTTAGGTTATTAAGTGTTGTTAGAATTATTTATCGATAAGCTTTATGACAACTATCACTAGCTCCTTTCGATACTTTTCCGAACTCAGCACATTCGTTGTCAAATAGAAAACATACAAAAAAAAAAACATGACAAAATTAATCAAGCTTGTGTCTTCTCAAAATGAGATCTTCGAAGTGCCGCAGGCGATCATTAAGTGCTCAGGAATAATCTCAATTTTCTGCGAGGATGACGACACTGACCACGGCAACCTGAATGAGGAGGCGCTGTCGCTGCCCAATGTAAACTCCTACATTTTGGAGAAGGTGCTCACATGGGCCATGTATCACCACGAGGTCAAGGAAATCACGGACTGGGACGAAGACTTTATCAATATGGACACGTGCACGCTGATCGATCTGGTGGCTGCAGCCGATTACCTGGACATACCGGACCTACAGAGTCTCGCTTGCCGGGCTGTGGCCAACCTGGCGAAGGAGGACGACTACGACAGCGCGGAGACCTCCCGCCAAATCTAGAAGACTAGATCTTCGAGCTATGATGCCAAGCTGCAAATATATGTACATATGCACCAGAGGTGTTTACTTTGGCTCCTACAGCACTTGTTGATTCATGTATAGTCTGGGTATTAAAATGCTTTTCAAAGGGTATTACGGTTTGAGTTCTGGTTGTTGTGGAAAGATCTACATCAGTGGTTATTCTTGTTCAAAAGTGGAAAGATATTTTCTATCCTCTGGGAAAGCATATTCAAAGTTCTCATTCTCGCTGGCCAGCTTCCCCTGGATTCTCTGATTATTAATACTATTATGGATGTAAAACCTCGCAACAGCTGCTGCATATCAATTTGTGGCCTGCGCTTAACCTGATCCATGTCAGGTCGCCGGAACACAAAGTTCCCTGTTCGTCTCTTTTTCTGCCAGTTTTTTTTCCTGTTGTCGTTATTCGACTTTGGCTAAGCTCGTTCCGGACATTGGCAATTTGCATTTGTCGATTCAACATCATCGACATTTCCTAGTGACCAATTATCGCAAGGGCTCGCTGTGCTCCAGATTTGCTTGCCTTTTGGAGGCTTTAAAGTTTAGATAGGACACGGAGATCTCCCGGTTACGGTCCCGGTCCCGGTCCCAGTCTCCCCTTGGCTGAGCCAGTTTAAAAATTCGTTTAAATTCCATTGCCAAAAGTGGCCTGTTGTCCCTTGTTTTGTAGAATAAAAAAGGAAGTCAAAAGCAAAAGCAAAGTGAAGAAAATAAAGGCTGGGAAAATATGCAGGAACCGCGAAATTGAAATTTTGGCTTCGCCTGGTGGCGGCTTCTTTGCATTGTTTGGAACTGGGATTGAGATTGGTAGTGGAAGCTGGGGGTTAAGGGATGGATGGCTCAATGGCTCACCCACCTGATCCTAAGTAAATACAAGGACAAGCGCCATGCATGTGACTGACTCTGACTCGGCTCTGGATATATATTTATATTCCCTTTTTTAATTAAATGAAACCAGAGGAATTGACCCAAAATGCAGAATAAATAAATATTTGGGGGGCGGTAGGAGGGTTGCTCCTTTTCGTGTTTTGTGTTTTCGTTAATAATTATTTCACTTTTTTCCGCGGCGAAAAGGAGGTGGAAAGAATTCAAAAGATGCCGCCGCACATAGCCATTGTTTATTGTAAAAACAAAACCGAAACACGGCAAAGGGAAGGGGGAAACAAAAAAAAAAAAGAAAGGGGATTGAGGATAGCGAAAAAAATAGAAACAACAATAAATATTTCACCTTCAATAAATCATTTCCCATTTTTGCTGCTGCCCAGCAGCAAATCCCCTTTACACCTTCCACAGAAACAGAGGGGGAAAAAAACGAGCAAGAAAAAAGGGTTTCTTGTCAACCCCAAGAGGGGAATCCCTTTTTGTTGGCCCTAAAACTCAACAAAATTAAATCGCAAATATGTTTAAACTAAACACAGAGGTTGTGTCGCCCAAATATGAAGGAATTTTACCTAATTTTGGCTGCCATATACTTGTAATTCTTTGACAAAATAGTTAAGGTTGTAAGTATAACATAATACTATAATGAAATGTATTTAAACAACTATAAACGGCAACGGATGTCTATATGTAGAAGCAATGTATGAAATGTTTCTACCATAACAAAGTATTCTATGATCCGCTGGAAGTTCCAACTGATGACACTGTCTCTACTTAAAACCAATTATCCTGCACATTTCCCTTACGAAATGTAACCACTATGTGGCAAAAAAGAGTCCTTTGGCCAGCCGGAGACATCCCTCCACCTCCCAGGAAATAGATATATGTATAAAAAGCTACTAGGAACACATATCAATTTGGCTTGGACAAGAGAGGAGCTTGCTGCCTGGACTTTGTTTGTTTTCGGGCTGATAAATTGGCACTCAAGTGGATTAAAATTGTTTGCAGCTAAAATAAATCTGTGTGTGGCCTCGGACGGCATTAGCCAGGAGGCGGAAAAGGTAGCTTCAAGCTCCTGCCTGCACTCTCCCCATTCGAATGGAAAGTTATAGAAAATTTCTCAATTTTTTAATATCCTTCTCTTTGCCGCTCATCAGCAGCTTGCTAACTTCAAAGGGCCCTCCTTATTAGCTCGACGACGATGGCATTTTTTGGGGCATGCAAAGGCGCATTTTTTAAGAGTCGCTTCCCACTGGGGTCATCATCAGCATTTTTATACTGCTTTACAACTTTCAAGTTTCGTTTTGTATTTGTTTTTTGCCTTTGAGCTTCTTTTTTCTGGGCCTTAAATATTTCTCATGCATACTTAAAATTGTAAAAATTAACATATTACTATAATCGTCGATGCTACCGCTCTTTGCACGCATTCTGTGCTTGGGGAACCTTGGGCCCGATCCAAGCCAATCGCCGCCATCCTAGAGACATGGCAACCAAGGCTACTGGATACCCATACTTCGATCCAGTTCGGCTGGATATATATCTATATATCTATCTACCTCAAACTAAACGAAGTTCTCGCGGCTCGACTTAATGTGTCTTGTCATTGACAGTCAGTAGTCCAGCTGTCGTCGCTTGGCTCTGGCCAAATTAAATTATTAAGCTGCCGCGCACACTGGGCTCAAAATAAATACAACCACAGTTGTCATAAAATATTGAAAGGAATGAGCAAATACATAGATAAGAATGTGTATCGAGAGAAAGTCTCTTTTTCGAATATTTCATATTTTCTGAGATTTAAATATAAAAAAAGGCCCCAAATATTTGTATACATCAACGAAATCACTCACCCGATCCATAATATTTAAAGAAATCCTTTTGAAATACGGTTGAAATAAGTTGAAGTATGAGAATAGTAGATGTAGACAATGCCATGAGTTGAGCTGAGTAAGCCCTGCGAACAAAAAGAAAACATAATTAATGAAATATTCTATGGGCAAGATGATCTCATCGTCAGACCGCATGGGTCTTTCTATATATACCAAACCCATGGTAATCAATTAAAAAACAATACATTAATATCTTAGGGACACACCTAAGACCACGGTGCTGTGTTTTCGGCCTGATCTTTTTGGCCAAATTTGCGCAGTGTTCCAAAACGAAACTTAAACATGTGAAACTGATGTCGATGCTTGATGGCGCGCTGCTGCTGTTGATGGCGATGTTGATGCTGATTACGATGCTAAGTGGCTAAAACAGAAAAAGAGAAAAAAATTGATCAATGCGTACGAAGTAAGCCATAAAATACTCTATAGGTTGTAATAATTTTAAGAGGAGTGTGTGCACTTGATGGGGATCTTACCAAAGAAAACATAAGGAATGTGATGCGTATCTCTGGGAGCTATTTTACAAACATTATATACCAGGTTTAGACATTTGCATCTCCTATATCTTGTGTCTTAATCAAGTAATGAAACCCTCCTATTGTAGGAGCAAACAAAATCGCATTAGCCAAGTACCCCATCGAGCGTGTATGGAAATATAAGCGGAATTAATGAGCTAAGAGACGGGACAAGAGCGAACAAAAATTCGGTAAACAAGTTCGCTGCAGGCCGGAGTCGCCGCTCCACGATGATGATGTGTTGTAATCTTAAAACTACCAGCGCTGTGCAGCCGCGAAATCAGTCTCAACTCGGACTACACAATGACAAGTGTTGGACGCGCAACGTGGATCTGTCTCTGCCTGGTGGTGCTGCTTGGTGGCCGCCCCATCAAGGCTCGAAACTCACAAAGCCTGCACGTGCGTCTCTCGCATGGAGGCTGGCTGATCGGTCGCCACCTGACCACCCACAACGGGCGTCCCATGCGGGCCTTTATGGGCGTGCCATATGCGGAGCCACCGCTGGGCGGGCTTCGCTTCCGTCCCCCGGTGCCGGCGTCCACTTGGCAGGGCGAGCGTCTTGCCGTGAAGGATGCACCGATCTGCCTGCAGCGAGATCCTTTCCGTCGCGACACCATCATCGAGGGCAGCGAGGACTGTCTGTATCTAAATGTCTATACGCCGGGCACGAAACCGCGCTTCAATGGCTCGCTGCCGGTGATGGTGTGGTTCCACGGTGGCGGCTGGCAATGTGGCTCCGGCATCAGTAGCTTCTATGGCCCGGACTTCCTGTTGGACCACGACGTTGTCCTCGTTTCGGCAAACTTTCGCCTGGGGCCGCTTGGTTTCCTCAGCACTGAGACCCTGGATTGTCCCGGCAATAATGGACTCAAGGATCAGGTGGAAGTGCTGCGCTGGGTGCGTGCAAACATCGAATCCTTTGGCGGCGATCCCGGCAGTGTCACCGTCTTTGGGGAAAGTGCCGGCGGTGCGAGTGTCACCTATCACATGCTGTCGCCCAAGTCACGCGGTCTCCTGCATCGCGGCATTGCACAGTCGGGCACCTACTTCAATCCCTGGGCTCAGCCCGCCCACAAAGGTGTGGCAGCGGGAAGGGCCGAGAAGCTGGCCAAACTGGTTGGTTGCGGTGGTGGCTCCTCGTGGGAGGAGAAGTTGAAATGCTTGCGGCAAAAGCCAGCCGATGACATTGTGGCCTCCTTGTACGACATGTTTGTAAGTTTTTCTCTTAAATTTCTACTTTTAAGGTTAATTCCCTGAAAAATATAAAGTATTATTATCCTAATCATAAGTTCTAGCAAAGGAGTCTTTAGGAAACCTTTTGAGACTTGGTTTAACTTAAAATGCCTAGCAAGTATTAACAAATTACGTATAAACTAATATATATTTAAACTTATATTAGTTTTCAGATAAAAACTACCTTTTAAAAAAGGTTTTTAAAGAAAACTAAAGCCTAAAGCCAGACATACATTTAAACTGTTTCTTGTTTCTTACAAAATCTAAACAAATATAGAAAGGCCCGAAAAAACCTTGAACCATAGCAAAAGTAGTTCAAATCAGTCAAAGATCATTGTTAAACGCGACAAAACGGCAAAAGATTAACCAAATTTGGTAAACAATAAATAGAGTACAATGTACACTAAAATTGAAAGTGAATAAATTATATCTAAGCTCTAACCTCTTGTTTGCAGATCTGGGACTTTGACCCGATGATACCTTTCCCGCCAGTCATTGAGCCGGAGCATGAAGGCGCTTTCCTGACGGTGCCACCGCGTCAGGCCCCGCAGCCGCATGGCCTGGAGCTGCCCCTGATGATAGGCGCCACAGCGGAGGAGGGACTCCTCAAGACGGCCGCCTTGCTCAATCTCCCCCAGCTGATGGCTGAGTTTAAGTCGCAGTTTGATCAGGTGCTGCCTGTAGTCCTGAATTACGATCACCACGAAAAAGGGGTGCAACGGCAGATAACGCAACGCATCGAGAGCTTCTACTTTAAACAGGGTCACGACTATAGCAAGGCTAATCACCAGAATTTGACCGATGTAAGTGTTGTTAGACCTAAAATGGGAGAAAGAGTGATTAAAAATGGTGTTTATAGTAGAGGATATGCTTTATATTTTCAATACAAGTGCGTAGGGGTAGCAAATATATATATTATATATATATTTTATCCAGTTGTAGCTTTTTTTCTTCAATTATTTAGTAATAGAAAGGCATTGTCTATTTAAATCGCATAAAAAAGAGATTTCTATGAAACTCTTATTAATTCACTTATTACGCCGCTCGGATATACGGAAAAAATGCACTTATACAATTTTTAAATCTAAAGTGTAAAAAACACACACAATTACGCTGCAATCAAGACCTTCCAATACGCAATGACTTTTATAACCAGAAATTTAAATCAGCAGCTGGCTAGTTAATCAGCAATTAAAAAAGCAAGAAGTTTTGCATGAATCAAGTGAAGGTTGTCATAAAAATTAGCCCTAACTTATGGGACATTATCTGAGAACTTGAAGGAAATAAGGCATACAAAGTTGAGAGACTTACATCTTAATATAATCTTAAATCGTAAACAATAACTGGTTTGTCTTTAGCTTATCTCGGATGGCTGGTTTGTGGCCGGCATCGACGAGTATATGAAGCTTCGCCTGAACCAGAAGGAGGACACCGTCGTGGCTCCCACATATGTTTACCTTTTCGATCACAAGGGCGCCGCCAGCTTCTCGGAGATTTTCAAGGGGGAGCGGAACGAATTCTATGGCGCCTGCCATGCCGAAGAGCTGCAATATCTGTTTCCCATCGGCCGAGAACTGTTTGTTAGTGCAGTGCCAACGCGGCAGGACCTGCAACTGCGCCAACTGATGCTCCAACTCTGGGTCAGCTTCGCACGCACCGGGTGAGTAGTTGTCCTGCTCCGCTTCAAATTTAACGGATCAAACTCACCGAAATCCCAATTACAGCAATCCAAATCCAACAAATACAAGCTTCATTTTGCCCACCTGGCGTCCGGCGTACAGTTATCCGGTGGAGTACGCTCGCCTTGGCACCAAAATCGACGCGGACGACGAAGACGAGGCGACGCCACTTTTCCGCATAGAAAGTGAATTAATGCAGCAGCGCGTTGATTTTTGGAGCGAACTGCAAGCACATCTGCCTGCCGCCAGTCACGCACACATCGAGCTCTAGCCCAATGAATCTATTTTAATGTATTTCTTGTATAGTTTTCCTTTAATACATTGATGCTACCGCCATTTCCAGAAAAACTTTCTTTTTTGCCGCGAAAAGTAACGGGGCTTTTGGGGTAGCCGGACTACAAAAAAACACCTTTTGGGCTACCAGATCGCTTAATCTAGCTTATTCTATTTCTAGCTGTTTTTAGCTACTTTTAGCTATTCTTAAGGGCTTTCAATGAAAGAACGCCGAACTCAAGACTATAAAGTATAAAAAATAGGATTTCCTATACGACTAAATGAATGCAAATATCGGTACTGGATTCATAATAAAAAGATTATTCGATATTTTCAGTCATTCAGCGACCCCGAGGTCGCAATTCATCGCCGATATTTTCATTAATTCTGTCGTATATGGAATTCCCCTGATAGTGTCAAAAAATTTAATACAATAATATAAATCAAATAAATATAATTAAATTATTAATGTTGAATACATAAATAAATGTTTATTAAAAGAATTTAGCTTTTTTCTTGCTAATTTCATTCAGCAACCCCATCTGGCAACCTTGGAATTGCCAGCGTTGCCGAAAGTTTTTTCTAAACTAATCAATAAGAAAAACAAAAAAGCAATGTCTATATATAGAAAAGGGAAGAAAAGCAGACGCTTACAATTAGCAACTGAACGTATTTATTGTTGGCAAAAGCCAAGGCACGCATCCCCTGCGAGAGAATAATCAGTGAAAAACGATACAATTCAGAAGAAAAAACATGCAAACGGACGGTCTATCGATAGTCAAGGGCCCAGCTGATGCGTGTTTATTTATGGCTGTAAATATTCATATCAGTGGAGGAAATACCTCTAGCACTTGAATTTCGTTAGATTAGTCATGTACGTCGTGGGCCAAAGTCTTGCGCCGTGCTTATCTCCATTGCTTTAAGTGATTGCGTCGCAGTGATTGGATTCATTTCCTCCTCACCAGGGAACCACGCGCTCCCCCGCAGACTTTTTTCTAATTTCCCAATTCCTAACACTACACTGCCTCGATAACGAGTTGCACAAATAAACAAACAACAACAACGCGCACGGGTTAATGGATTTTCTGTTTACGCCCGGATTCAGTTCGAAAGTGATAAGCTAAGCCGCCAGAGAATCTCAGTGAATCTCAGCCCCCATTGAAAGGCCAACCATGTCCACAAACGGATCAGCAGCAGAGGCAGCGAAGCCCATCGACATCACTGTGCGGCTGCCGCCCCATGAGCGCCTCGCCTCGCTGGACAAGAGCATGCCACCGGCATCGCCCACTCTGCCCAGTCCCACAATCCGGCGGAACAAGAGCGATGGCAAGCTGATGGCCCAGGATGTGAAGGAGGCGCGGGTCAAGGTCATCTACACGGGCGGCACTATCGGCATGGTGCGGAACGATCGGAATGGTAAGGGGTTAACGAATACTGAACCGATTAAAGAAACGATTACGTTAGCTGTAGGAAAAAAACCAAAGGTTCAGGTTGGGAACAATAAAGTCGTAAATGTTAATAAAATAATGTACATATGTTCAAATACATATAGAGTCGGCATTGTCCATAGGCTAATTAGATTTGTTTTTATATGTATCACCTTATAGCGAACCATTTCGATCATTTTTGTATATCCTGTTATATCCCATAATCCTTGTACTTGTTTTAAATGCGAGATAACTTAACTCGTACTTTATATAGTGTTTTTGTCAGTGTTAATTAGAGCTCTGATGCCAACAAGCAAATATTAAACTTAAGAATCGCCAGTAGAAATGATGATGCAAGAACTAGTAGAGAGCTCAGTAATAAGGCGACATTTTTTACGTAATTTTCTGTAAATTGCATTAAAAAACTTGATTGATTTCTTATAAAATAATATCAGAAAATCCCTATTTATATGGCAAGCTATACTATCTTAACAATTAATTTTTATACATATCATATGATATACGAAAATCTTTTCTTTTTTATCTACCTAGCAGAGGTCCCAAAATATACCTAGATAATGAAAATGATACCGGAATTTATCAGACCTGAAAATTGATTGAAAACGGAATGACTGTCTATATTTTAAGAAATATTAAAATGAACAAGAAAGGAAACTAACTTCAGAAAGCCTAAGGTTATATACCCTTGAATTTGTAATTGAATTAAAGAATTGGAACGAAAATCGATCATAACTCAGTTTAAAATAGTTGCATATTTTAATCTATATTTCAATATTTTTATATGACTATTTGTTCTACAAATTAAAACTTAAAAAGCTCATAACTTTGCCAAAAATGCATTAAATTCGATTCGGAAAGATGTTCTGTTCTAGTTTTAAATAGGTTTTCAAATCTGCATACTGAAATTTAATTTTTAAACTATTTCAATTTTTGTCGATTTTTCAAAACGGTTTTTATGTAAAAAAGGGCTTAAAAATGTTGAAAAAAAATTTCAAAAATTTTGTTCTTTCTTTAATGCATAGAAAGATTCGTCTGTTTATGCTGATCAAGAATATATATGGAATATAGGGCCGGAAATGACTCCTTCACAGTGTTTTAAGCTTCTGACTGAATTGTTAATACCACTTTTCCAGTCGATATTTCGATATTTTTATATGACTATTTGTTCTACAAATTAAAACTTAAAAAGCTCATAACTTTGTCAAAAATGCATTCAATTCGATTCGGAAAGCTGTTCTATTCTAGTTTTAAATAGGTTTTAAAATCTGCATACTGAAATTTAATTTTTAAACTTTTTTAATTTTTGTCGATTTTTCAAAACGGTATTTATGTAAAAAAGGCTTAAAAAATGTTGAAAAAAAATTTCAAAAATTTTGTTCTTTCTTTAATGCGTAGAAAGATTCGTCTGTTTATGCTGATCAAGAATATATATGGAATATAGGGCCGGAAATGACTCCTTCACAGTGTTTTAAGCTTCTGACTGAATTGTTAATACCACTTTTCCAGTCGATATTTCGATATTTTTATATGACTATTTGTTCTACAAATTAAAACTTAAAAAGCTCATAACTTTGTCAAAAATGCATTAAATTCGATTCGGAAAGCTGTTCTGTTCTAATTTTAAGTAGGTTTTAAAATCTGCATACTGAAATTTAATTTTTAAACTTTTTTAATTATTGTCGATTTTTCAAAACGGTATTTATGTAAAAAAGGCTTAAAAAATGTTGAAAAAAAATTTCAAAAATTTTGTTCTTTCTTTAATGCGTAGAAAGATTCGTCTGTTTATGCTGATCAAGAATATATATGGAATATAGGGCCGGAAATGACTCCTTCACAGTGTTTTAAGCTTCTGACTGAATTGTTAATACCACTTTTCCAGTCGATATTTCGATATTTTTATATGACTATTTGTTCTACAAATTAAAACTTAAAAAGCTCATAACTTTGTCAAAAATGCATTAAATTCGATTCGAAAAGCTGTTCTGTTCTAATTTTAAATAGGTTTTAAAATCTGCATACTGAAATTTAATTTTTAAACTATTTTAATTTTTGTCGATTTTTTATAATGGTATTTATGTAAAAATGCGCTTAAAAATGTTGAAAAAAAAATTTCAAAAATTTTGTTCTTTCCTTAATGCGTAGAAAGATTCGTCTGTTTATGCTGATCAAGAATATATATGGAATATAGGGTCGGAAATGACTACTTCTATGCGTTTTGAGCTTCTGACTGAAATTATAATACATTACAAGGGCATAAAAATGGCATTTCATGGGACTTCAACTTGGTTCTTGAGTTTCTTAAATATTATTTAGAAATAAATCTTTCATATTTTTGTAATACTTCCAGTGCTGGCACCGATACCCAATGCCCTAGTTCGCAGTATTCGCAGCTACCCGAACATCCATGACGAAGCCTACGCGCTGCGTCGCTTCGGAGCTTCGGCTTCGATGGCTCCTTTGGTTCTGCCCTTTGTCCAGGGCGTGGACCGGAGGATTCTCTATCAGATCACGGAGTACACGCCGCTGCTGGACAGCAGTAATATGACGATGAATGACTGGGCGCGTATAGCCAGCGATATACAGGTAAGAGTATTCCCAAAAGAAAGTATCAATTTTCATATTCCCTTCTTGTAGCAATCCTACGAGTTCTTTGATGGATTCGTGGTGCTCCATGGCACCGACACGCTGTCCTACACCGCCTCGGCCCTGTCCTTCATGCTGGAGAATCTCGGTAAGACGGTGATCATCACGGGCTCCCAGATTCCCATATTTGAGACGCGCACCGATGGCAAGGATAACTTCACCTCGGCTCTGATCATAGCCGGCAATTATGTGATACCCGAGGTGTGCGTCTTCTTTGGTCACAAGCTGATGCGTGGCAATCGGACGGTGAAGGTCAGTTCGAATGCTTTGGACGCTTTCGATTCACCAAATGTACCGCCGCTAGCCACGATCGGCATCGATGTGAATGTGGACTATCGGATGATCTTCCGGCCGTGCAGCATCGAGCGGTTTTGCGTTCACCTGAAGCTCGACGAGAATGTGGGTCTGTTGCGCATCTTCCCCAGCATTTCGCTGGCCACCTTCCGAGCTTTCCTCGCTCCGCCGCTGAGGGGTGTCGTTCTTCAATCATTCGGATCCGGAAATATACCATCGAACCGAAAGGATCTGATTGATGAACTGCGAGCGGCCGACGAGCGTGGAGTCATTATAATTAATTGTACCCAATGCCCGAATGGCTCGGTTGCGGAAATCTACGATACGGGCAAGGTCCTGTGCGATGTGGGCGTGATTCCCGGCTACGATATGACCCCGGAGGCTGCGCTATCCAAGCTGGCCTATGTCATTGGCAAGGAGGAGTGGCCGCTGGAGGTCAAGAAGCAGGTGAGTGACCCATCGCAATGTTAAAATATAGATTTATGTGCATATTGCAAACGATATTGATAAAGATTTTCCTAAAGTCAAAGCTTTTTAACGATTCCAGATGATGCAATCGAATCTGCGAGGCGAACTGACCGCCGTGACGGCGCCTAAGATGGAGGACTATGATCTGGTGGACGCTGTGGCCCGTTCCCTGCATTTATCTTCGCCCCAGGAGTTGGACCAGCTGGGCGCCACCCTCTTTCCGGCCATGATCAATTCCGCCGTCGAGGAGGGAGACCTAAAGAAGATCAACAACCTGAAGGCCTATGGGGCCGATCTGTCCGGGACGAATCATGACCAGCGGACCGCTCTGCACCTGGCCTGCCAGCTGGGCAGCGTGGAGATCGTGAAGTATCTGCTGCACAACGGCGTGTCGGTGCATGCCCGCGATCGCTACGATAGGACGCCGCTCCTAGAGGCGGTGTCCACCGATAGCCACGAGATCATCCAGCTTCTGATTAACTGTGGCGCCCATCTAACCGGCTCTTCGCGTGCCGTCGGTGAGCAGCTGTGCGCTGCAGCAGCTCGAGGTTCGCTGGTGCGTCTGAAGTCGTATCAATATGCTGGCGCCGATCTCGCCCAGGCGGATCCCTCGGGGAGGACGGTGTTGCATGTGGCGGCGCTGCATGGGCATCCGGAGGTGGTGGAGTATGTCCTGCCGTATTTCGAGAATCCCCAAGAGAAGGATATGCTCGGGCTGAGTGCCTGGGACTATGCGGAGCGGGGTGGTGGTCATCCGGCGGTCATGAAGCTGCTAAAACCCACGGAATAATATTTATTTTAAATAGAGAAATCTCTCTTCCCAAAGTCACAAATTTCGTAAAAGATTTGAGATTTTGCTTTCTGTTTTTTAAAGATATTTGTCGGAGGTTGTTACTTATGTCTCGAGCATCTAGTCTGCTGGTTCCTCTACTTATTATACACATATATACTCCCAAACTGTATTGTTTATTAATCTTAAAGCGTAACTTAAACTTGTTTTATGCATTTAACTCAGGCCAGTGTTGATTGTTTTAGTTCCTGACGAAATGTTTGTTTTTCTCAGATGATATAATATATATACTTGTATATTAAACCAGGTGACCTTTACTTAAACCCATAAATGTTGTATGTAACACTAATTATTATAAAAGAAGCTAACATCGGTACGCCAAAGTTTATATACCCTCGGAATAAACAATATAAATTATATACATATGTATATTTATTTGAAAATGAAAACCTTGAGAAAATATTCATATTTGATATTAATTCTTCCTCCACTGTTTGTATTTAGATAAAAAACATATTTCCTTAATGTAAATAAATACCAAAATCCAAATTGTACTTTGAGACAATGTTCATAAGATAAAACATATTTTTGTGTTATCCCGATAAATATTTTTGAAAAACTGTTACATCTTAGCATTGCGGAAAGCAAATGTTGCACAGCACTCCTCATGTATATGTTGTCTCTCTGTATATATTGTCTCATTCGCTTGCAATCGCTTTATTTAACCGGGTACTTATTGGCATAAATTTAATTTAATTATTATAATTTGGTTTGTCTATCGTTATCGTCAGCAGCTGTTTGCAACCACCCTACATATTTGCACCATGGACTTCTTCTTCCTCACAAAAGGGGCATTCACCCGGCAACGTTTACTGTTTCAGTAGTCTATCGTTATCGTCAGCAGCTGTTTGAGACCACCCAACATATTTGCACCATGGACTTCTTCTTCCACACAAAAGTAGCATTCACCCGGAACATTTACCGTTTCAGTAGTCTATCGTCTATCGTCTCCTCTTCACAAAGTCAAAAATTTCGTAAAAGATTTGAGATTTTGCTTTCTGTTTTTAAAGATATTTGTCGGAGGTTGTTACTTATGTCTCGAGCATCTAGTCTGCTAGTTCCTCAACTTATTATACACATATATAATCCCAAATGGTATTGTTTATTAATCTTAAAGCGTAACTTAAACTTGTTTTATGCATTTAACTCAGGCCAGTGTTGATTGTTTTTGTTCCTGACGAAATGTTTGTTTTTCTCAGATGATATAATATATATACTTGTATATTGAACCAGGTGACCTTTACTTAAACCCAAAAATGTTGTATGTAACACTAATTATTATAAAAGAAGCTAACATCGGTACGCCAAAGTTTATATACCCTCGCAATTAACAATATAAATTATATACATATATTTATTTGAAAATGAAAACCTTGAGAAAATATTCATAATTGATATTTATTCTTCCTCCACTGTATGTATTTAGATAAAAAATGTAAATAAAAGATGTAAATAAATACCAAAATCCAAATTGTACTTTGAGACAATGTTCATAAGATAAAACATATTTCTGTATTATCCCGATAAATATTTTTGAAAAACTGTTACATTTTAGCATTTCGGAAAGCAAATGTTGCACAGCACTCCTCATGTATATGTTGTCTCTCTGTATATAATGTCTCATTCTCTTGCAATCGCTTTATTAAACCGGGTACTTATTGGCATAAATTTAATTTAATTATTATAATTTGGTTTGTCTATCGTTATCGTCAGCAGCTGTTTGAGACCACCCTACATATTTGCACCATTGACTTCTTCTTCCTCACAAAAGTGGCATTCACCCGGAACATTTACCGTTTCAGTAGTCTATCGTTATCGTCAGCAGCTGTTTGAGACCACCCAACATATTTGCACCATGGACTTCTTCTTCCACACAAAAGTGGCATTCACCCGGAACATTTACTGCTTCAGTATTCTTTCGTCTATCGTCTCCTTTTCACAAAGTCACAAATTTCGTAAAAGATTTGAGATTTTGCTTTCTGTTTTTTAAAGATATTTGTCGGAGGTTGTTACTTATGTCTCGAGCATCTAGTCTGCTGGTTCCTCTACTTATTATACACATATATACTCCCAAACTGTATTGTTTATTAATCTTAAAGCGTAACTTAAACTTGTTTTATGCATTTAACTCAGGCCAGTGTTGATTGTTTTAGTTCCTGACGAAATGTTTGTTTTTCTCAGATGATATAATATATATACTTGTATATTAAACCAGGTGACCTTTACTTAAACCCATAAATGTTGTATGTAACACTAATTATTATAAAAGAAGCTAACATCGGTACGCCAAAGTTTATATACCCACGCACTTAACAATATAAATTATATACATATATTTATTTGAAAACGAAAACCTTGAGAAAATATTCATATTTGATATTTATTCTTCCTCCACTGTTTGTATTTAGATAAAAAATGTAAATAAAAGATGTAAATAAATACCAAAATCCAAATTGTACTTTGAGACAATGTTCATAAGATAAAACAAATTTTTGTGTTATCCCGATAAATATTTTTGAAAAACTGTTACATCTTAGCATTGCGGAAAGCAAATGTTGCACAGCACTCCTCATGTATATGTTGTCTCTCTGTATATATTGCCCATTCGCTTGCAATCGCTTTATTTAACCGGGTACTTATTGGCATAAATTTAATTTAATTATTATAATTTGGTTTGTCTATCGTTATTGTCAGCAGCTGTTTGAGACCACCCTACATATTTGCACCATGGACTTCTTCTTCCTCACAAAAGTGGCATTCACCCGGAACATTTACCGTTTCAGTAGTCTATCGTTATCGTCAGCAGCTGTTTGAGACCACCCTACATATTTGTACCATGGACTGCTTCTTCCTCACAAAAGGGGCATTCACCCGGCATCGTTTACCGTTTCAGTAGTCTATCGTTATCGTCAGCAGCTGTTTGAGACCACCCTACATATTTGCACCATGGTCTTCTTCTTCCACACAAAAGTGGCATTCACCCGGCAACGTTTACTGTTTCAGTAGTGGTTGCGCCAGCCCTGGTTTCGATTTGTTTTTACGCCTGGGCCCCGAAGGCATTAAATAGAATTGGTAAGAATATAAGAAACTTGAGCCGAAACAGCGATTATCGCCGATGCGAATGGGGCTCGATCGAGTTGCCAGTGATTGGGCCGTTACAAACAGTGCTGTGGAAAGCGGGGAAGCAGGCAAAACAGCACACGCACGCATGTACTCACACCCGTCCGCACACGTACACGTATACAAAACAGAGGCTGGCACACACACACACCAGCGCGCAGGCAAAGGGGACGTGCACACGTCAGTGCCACGAATTGCCAAAAAGAAAAAGAAAATCGAAAACAACAAATAGCAAAGACTTTTGAAGATTTCGAAGGGAGATTAAGCTGCCCCAATGGTAAACAAAGATCCCTGTGCTCTCTCGTTGCAGTCAATGTCGATAGCTAGAGCTGCGCAGCCCCCGAAAGATTGGATATATCATCATCATCATCACCATCGTTCCGTGGCCAGATAGCCAGTGCTCCTTCGACATCCCCGCCCCCTCCGTGCTTGTTTTGTTTCTAGTTTTAAGTTTTTAAGTGCTCGTAATTTTGGTGTTTCTTTTTTCTTTTGTGTGTTGATTACATTGCACGGCTTAGAGACTAGTTAGAAAAGTTTATACAAATATTTAGTAATTAATTCGACGAACGAACGAGCGATGGCGGAAGACGCTACATCTTCGGCCACGGATGCGGCGGCTGCCCTGGAGACTTTCTACGATTTTTCCATCGTCCAGGTAATTTGCTGTTACGCCTCATCGAGCTCTGAAGGTTTTTAAAGAGTTGTGTTTTGTTTACTTTTGGCAGCCGCACCACCACGAACACGACGGCGAGGCTGATATACACTTAACGGGCAGCTCAAATGACCTGTCCACGTTACAGGTGAGTTCCCAGTCCAAGGAAGAGCTTCTAAAGGCTTTGGAAAACGGTTGGGAATGGTGCTTCACAAGCAAAACTTGCCCATTTCTGGGTAGATTATCCAATTGAGGAAGAGCTCCAAGCACCTTGGATTCTATTACCATAGAAACCAGCTTAGTTTCGAGATTTAGTTTAATTCGTGTCCTTTAAAGTACTTATTCTGCATGATTTTCACTCATTTTCGATCATTTCTTGCATAGAATGTATCCGCTGGCACTGCAACGACGACGAGGAGCAAGGGCCGTCTGGACAGTCTTAAGGAGAACATGTTCAAGCAGCAGGTGAGCCTGGGAATACCCCAGAATCCTCCTGAAGCTTTAAACCAATTCTAACCTACTCCATCTTCCTACTACTAGGAGCGCCTTACTGCCTTAAAGGAGCGCGCGCGGCAATCACAGGACGACAGGCGGCGTCATTACTCCATGGAGACTTCGCTAGGACAGACCCAGTTGCCCAGTCGCCCCGTAGATGCCTCCACACCCCTGGCCGCGTCCAGCAAGGAGAAGCACACGATGGCCTCACCGGATGTCTCTGGATTCCAGAATTCCAGCGGCAACGAGAAGCTCCTCATGCTGACCCAACGCACGGAGCAGACCAGAGCTCTGATAGAGCAGCGAAAACGAGATATGGCCAAGTCCCTGCTTTCAGTTAAGACGCTGGGCATTGGCCCGAGGACTAACACTGGCATGGGCACCGGCCCCGAACTGGGCTCTGGCTCCTCGATGACGGACTTGAGGCAGGTGACGGCTACGCCCGTCTCTCGCCATCGTTCCGCCTTGGACTTGGAGGCCCAGGGACGCCATGAACCCGGAGCGCTGGACGAGAACCACGTAAAGATGCTCAAGAGCCGCATGAAGCTGACGGAGCTGAAGCAGAGCCGGCAAGAGCAGGAGCTGCAGGAACAACGCGCGGAGCTCACTCGCCGCGCCCACCTCATTGAGCAATTGGAGCTGTCCGGTGCCGAGCTGCAGCGCACCCTCACCCAGCGAAACGAAGAGCTTGAGCAGCTGCGGCTCAACCAGGAGCAGAAGCAGCCAGAGCAGGAAAACACCCTGCAGGAGCAGGAGAACTCCCGCCTGCAGGCAGAGGTCTTGGTGCTGAGAGAACGCCTGGCAGAGCTGGAGAACATCAACGACCTGCTGGAGACGACACGCAGCGAGCTCCAGGAAGAGCTCAGCGCGGCTCGGGAGCGGGAGAGAGAGAGGGACAGAGAGAGGGAAAGAGAGAGGGAGACGCAGGCAGAGCAGGTCACCACCACGGACGCCCAGGTCAGCCAGGAGCTGGCCAAGCAGCTGCAAGAGCTCAGCCATAAGCAGGCCGAGCTGCTTGCCGTCAACGAAGAGCTGCGGCAGGCGGCGGCCGCCCAACAGAAGCTACACATCAGCGATGCCAGTGTTGTCCAGCGGCTCGAAGAACTGGAGGCTACCATAGCCGCCCAAACCGCGAAGATGGCCGAACAGAGCGAAGAGCTGGCGGAGAAGACGACGGAACTCAATGTACTGAATGTCAACTTGCGCCTCCTCGAGGATAAGCTGGCACAGAGCAGTCGCAAGAGCAAGCCACTCTTCCTCGACGATCCGGCGGAGAAGATGCCGGAGGAAGAACTGCAGCAGCTGAAGCAGAAGCTGGACGAGGCCAACAAGGCCAACATCAAGCTGAAGCTCAAGTGCAAGCAGGCGGAGAAGAATTTGCAGAAGCTGCAGTCCGAAGAGGGGCAGCAACAGCTCCTGCGGAAGCTCTCGGCGGAGAACGAGGAGCTGCAACAGCGGGTAACGGTGCTGGAGGATGAGAAGGGCCAGTGGCAGCTGGCCAGCATGGACAGGTCGCAGCAGGAAGAGCTGGCTGATTTGCCGAATTCCTCCCACCTCGAGGCCATCCGCCTGTTGGAAGAGCAAAAACTGGAGCTCCAGCAGGCCTTGGAGGCCCTTCAGCAGGGCCACGAGTCCGCGCGGGTCGAGTCCGAGCTGAGCGAGGCCCAGCTGGAGGAGCAGCAGCTGACGCAGCGCGTCCAGCAGCTGGAGAGCGAGGCCCAGGAGCAGCGCCAGCAGCTGGAGACCCTGCAGAGCGAGAAGCAAACGCTGGACAAGAAGCTCTCGCATTACATTAGCGAGAACATGGAGCTGCTTGACAAGCTGGAGAAGCTCAGCTCGTCCAGTTCCGCGGAGTCCATAGAGATTGTGGAGCGGCAGCAGCTGGAGGAGCAGGAGCAGCAGCAGCACCCAGAGGAGCAGGATCCCGCAGTGCCCAGCCAGGTGAGCGAGCTGACCCAAACCGACCAGGACGATCAGGAGACCCTCTCCCAGCTGAGGAAGCGCCTGGAGCTCTTCACCCAGGAGCGTGGCGAGGTCCTAGACAAGCTGGAGCACCTCTCCGCAGAGAATGCCCAGCTGCAGCTTCGCCTGGACGAGAGCTCCACCTCCCTGCAGCTGCTCCAGCGCGAGAGAGACCGTGAGCGCGAGAAGGATCTACTCTCATCCACCTCAACCTCCTCGAATCTCTCCCAGGAACTGAGCTCCCTGCAGCGCTCGTCGGAGGTGGTGGCCACCCTGGATGCCGGGGACGCCGGCGGACCTGTCCTCTTAGACAAGTGCGAGAAGTCACTGAGCAAGCTCAACTCGGAGCTGGAGGCCTATCGCCGGGCCAACGACCGGCAGGCCAAGTTCAATGTATCCAAGAAGCTGGCCAAGGAGGCCAAGAACTGTCACACGCAGCTCAGCGAGCTTCTGCACAAGGTCAAGGAAGCCAGCACGGCGGTGGAGACGGTGACTGTGGTAGAGACCGTGGTGGCGGTGACAGCGCCCAATGGCAAGGCCCTGGCCGAGTACGAGCAGCTGACCGCCCAAAATGCGGAGCTCAAGGCGGAGATCTCCCGGCTGAGCAGGGAACTGGAGGAGCTAAGGGAGAGAGAGAGCTATCCCGAGAGGGAGTCACTAATGGCCATAGAAGCCAGCACAATGCATCAGGAGGAGGACTTCTTGCATCTGCAGTCCCTCCTGGAGGACTCCCGCAACGCCCAGACGGAGCAGCAGGAGGAGATCCGAGAATTGAGAGAAAGCCAGGCTCGTCTAAGGGAAGAGATCACGCAACATCAGCTGCAGGCCGTGGAAGCAAGCACAATGCATCAGGAGGAGGACTTCTTGCACCTGCAGTCTCTCCTGGAGGACTCCCGCAACGCCCAGACGGAGCAGCAGGAGGAGATCCGAGAATTGAGAGAAAGCCAAGCCTGTCTGAGGAACGAGATCACGCAGCACCAGCAACAGGCCGAACAATTCGATCAGCAGCTGAATGCCAAGGAAATGAACCACGAGAAGCAACTGGAGCAGCTCACCCGCCTGCGACGGGAGCTGGAGTCGCGCAACGAGTCGCTGGAGGGTGAACTGAGCATACTCCAGGCCTTGGTGGCCGAGCAAAAGCAGCAGCTTATCGAGAACCTGAGCGAGAGCGAGCACAGTCTCAATCTCAAGATGCTGGAGCTGCAGGCGGCCCAAGAGGAGCTCAAGGAGCTGCGTGAGCTCAGGAGGAGCCAGGAGCAGGACCCCAGTCCCGAGCAGCTGCGAGAGGCTTTGAGGATCAGCAAGAGCCTGGCCGCCCAGCAGGTGAGTGAGCTGGGAGCCCGCCAGGAGACCATCGATGCGCTGAACCAGCAGATTCAGGAACTTTATCAGGGCCTGGAGCAGACGCGCCAGGAGGAGCAGCACAAGAGCCGTGAGCTGCGGGAGAAGCTCAAGAAGTATGCCCTTAATCTCAAGAAGCGCGCCCAGGAGAACGCGGAACTGGAGGAGAAGGTAAGGGAACTACAGGAGAAGCAGCAGGAGCAGGAGCAGCAGCAGCAGCTAAAGGAACCCCCTGTGGAGGTGGAGCAATTGCAGCAGCAGGTCAGCAAGCTCAGCAAAGAGCTCAAGGCCAAGATCCACGTGAATCTTGAGAATCGTGATGCCATGCGTAACCTCCAACAGCAGCTCCAAGAGCAGGAGCAGCTGCTTGACCAGCGCCAGGCTGAGCTCCAGGAGGCCAGTCTCGAGAACAAGGAGCTGCGACGCGAACGCCAGGAGGCCGAGCAGGAGGTCTTCCAGATGGGACAGGAGGTAGCCAGGCTCTCTGCGGAAGTAAAGAGCCTACAGCAGCAGCTAACCGAGCAGCAGCCCGCTCTGGAGGATCTGCGACGCCAGCTGGAGTCCAAGTCCATCAAGTTTGACAAGTCAAAGGAGCTGATCAAGCACCGCAATGCCACCATCCAGTCGCTGCAGCGGGAACTCCAGCAGCTGCGTCAGAGCCACCCAGCCGCCGAGCAGCAATTGGAGCAGCTTCGCGTGGAAAAGGATGCCGAGGTGAGTTTTATATATTTGAGTGTCCCAAAGAAGGTCTCAAATTCTAATTTTTCCTTGCTCTTCAGATCGCTGTCCTTCGCCAACAGACCTTGGATGCAGCGATACCCCCTACAGCGGCCACGGTGAGTGAGGAGGAGCACAACCAGCTGCGGGTTCAACTGACTGCCGCCCAGGAGCAGCACTCGCTGCTGGATCAGCTGTACACCCGTGACAAGGCCAATTTCGAGGCGACCATCTCCCGGTTGAACACGATCCACGAGGGCATCCAGGCCAAGCTGCAGGAGGACGCCTCCTACATTGAGTCACTGGAGGCGCAGATTGCTGCCCTGCAGGCCAGGAGCTCAGTCCTCGAGGAGCAGGCCGCGAGTCAGGCCCATCACCAGGCAGAGGCCGACGAAAGAGTGCAGAGCCTTCAGCAGGAGCTGAGGGAGCGATGCGAGCAGGCTGAGCAGCAGCTCCAGCTGGACCAACAGCTGCAGCAGCGCCTCCAAGAGCTCAGCCAAAGGGAGGAGGAGCAACGTCACCAACTGGCGGAGTTTGGCGCCCGGGCCGAGGAATCACGCGAGCAACTGGCAAGCCTGCGCGGTGAATATGGAGAGCTCCAAGCGAAACACGCCCAGCTGACAGCCAAGGCGCAGGCAGAGCGGGAGCAGCTGAGCCACCATAGTCAGGAGGAGCTGGCCGACCTGCAGCAACAGCTGGCGGCGAAGGAGGCTGAACTGCAGCGCCAGCGCCAGGTGTACGATGCCAAGCTGGCGGCCAAAACGACGGAGCTGGATGAGATAGAGTGTGATCTAAGTATGAACGCAGTGCGAGCCACCAACCTGCTGCAGCAGCTGGAGCGGACCGAGGAGCAACTGGCACAGCGTACGGAGGAACTGCAGCGCCAGAGCGAGGACATGCAGGAGCTGGAGCGCGAGGTGAACTTGCTGAGGCTGCAGCAAGCCAGCTCAGAGCAGGATGTCCTGGAGTTGCAAGAGTTGCGTATGCAGGCCATCCAGGATAAGACAGAGGCGGACCACCTGCGGGCACAGATCGATGCGTTGTGCGCCAATCACAGCCAGGAGCTGCAGGCCCTGCAACAGCAGATCGCCGAGCTGGACACCCTGGGACAGAACCAAACCGACGATCAGGTGTACATCGAGACGGAGAACAAGCGGCTGACGGAACAGCTGAACGAGCTGCAGGCACAGCTGACCAGGCAGCTGCCTCTTCCAGCTCCCTCCTCGCTCTTCTTTGGCAACGATGCCGCCCTGGCTGCTCCTTCACCGTTTGATGAGCTTGTTGCCCAGCCTCTGAGGGTGGCTCCCAATCAGGCCTCGCCCGCCATGGATGCCCCACCCACCATTGAGGCACTGCAGCGAAACGTTTCTGACTTGGAAAAGCATGCCCAGGATCTGGAAACCAAGCTCTTGGCGCGCAATCAAAGCCTGGCGGAGCAGGAGGAACGACGCATGCAGCTGGAGCGGCGCCTCAATGAGTTGGAGCTTCAGATCAGAGAAAAGGAAGATCAGGAGCGGCAGGCCGCGGTGGAAAGGCTTATACAACCTGCTCAGGCTCCACCTGCAGTTGCTCCCACACTGGGCATGTTCTTTGGCGAGACAACCACGGAGCTCGGACTGCCGCAGACAGAGCCCGTCGAGGAGCCACTTATCCAGCCCAAAAAGGCCTATTTATGCCAGCCAAAGCCAGAACAGCAGCAACAGGCCATCGATTTCAGCTTAGATGACGATCCATGGACCGAGGCGGCTCCCCTGGAGCCTCTGCAGGCCAGGATAGCCCAACTGGAGCAGCAGCTGGCCACGGCCGAGCAGCAAAAGACGGAGCTGCAAACGAAAACCGCCAAGCTGATGAAGCGCCTCAAGGAGTACAAGACAAAGGCCGCGACGACTCCCACTCCCGCTCCACTCGCCCTGGACAACGATCTGGATACGGCCATTATCGAGGAGCTGAAGCATCAGTTGCAGCTCCACGAGTCCCGCCAGGCCAAGGCTGAGGAGCAGCTGCAGCAGCATCTCCTGGAAAAGGAGAAGCTGGCGAAACGCATCGATGTCTTGACAGCGGGCAATGAGCGGATGGCAGAGCTCAAGGAGCGTCAGGATATGGATGTGCAGATGTATCAGGCACGCATACGAGAGCTTCAGGCAAAGGTCAGTCAACTGGATCAGTGGGGAGAGGTCACCACCACAGCAGAGTCTGCACCGGCACCCGCAGCAGATCCGGCCTCGGCTTCAGTGCCAATTCCAGCTTCTTCAAGTTCTATTCCCTCCAAAGAGCTGAAGAATCTGCAGGATGAGAATCAGGAACTGAATGCCGAATGCCAGGATCTACAGGAGCGACTGAAGGAGGAGCGTCGCCTGGTTTTGCTGGCGGAGGAAACGGCCGCCCAGTCGCAGGCTCAATGGGAGCAGGTACAGGAGCAGCTGCGGGAGCGGGAACTGGAGATACTGAAGCAGCAGCAGGCACAGGAGGTTGTCCAGCGGGAGCTGCAGGATGAGCTGAGCCGGCTAAGGAACTGCCTTGCTGAGGCTCAGGCAGAAATCGAGTACCTGAGATCTAGCAAGGAGCAGAAGGATCAGCAGCAGGATAAGCAGAGCTCCCAGAGCCACCAGGTGGAGCAGGAGCAGATGCGGAGTCTCCAAGCGGAGGTGGAGCGGCTAAGGGGCCTACAGAGCGAGGTGGAGCACTTGAGGGGCCTTCAGACTGAAGTGGAGCAGCTAAGGAGCCTGCAGAGCGAAGTGGAGCACTTGAGGGGCCTAAAAGCGGAGGTGGAACACCTGAGAAACCTTCAGGGCGAAGTGGAACACCTCCGAGCCCTGAAAGTCCAGCAGGAGAGCAGCCAGCAGGGCCTCCAAGCTGAGCTTCAGCAACTGCAGCTTCAGCTCGCACAACTAGAAGCTAAGCTCTCCCGCGACCAAGTCGAGTTGGAGGCACTGCGCCATGGCGCAGCCACCATGAGCCATCATGAGCACGATGAGCAGATGGCCCAGTTGCAGGAGAAGGAGTCGGAAATTGTGCATCTGAAGCAGCGCATCGAGGAGCTGATGCGCGAGGATCAAACGGAGAAGCTGGTCTTTGAGATTCTAACCAAAAACCAAGAGCTCCAGATGCTGCGCATGCAAATCAAGCGACTGGAGGAGGACAGGGAGGAGGAGCAGTCACAGCCCGCTCCTCCTGCTGCCGACACCGAGCAGCTTCTCGCCCAGTGCCAGCAGCTGCAGCAGGAGAAGTCCGATATGGAAGAGGAGCTGCGTGTGCTCAACAATCACGTCCTGAGCAGCCTGGAGCTGGAGGATAAGATGAAGCAGACACTGCTACAGCTGGACACGAAGAACATAGAGATCACCGAACTGCGACGTTCCCTAGAGGTGATGCAGCAAGGCACCGCTTCCCAGCAACAGTTGCCTGATCTAGCCACCATCAATCAGCGATGGGAGCAGGTCGTGGAGGAAAAGTGTAGCGAGGTGGCCAGCATTTGGCAGGAGCATCTCGTCCAGCGGGAGGCGGCCTTCAAGGCGCAGCTGGAGGAGATCAGCCAGCAGTCACAGTTGCAGACGCCGTCGCAGTCGCAGTCCCAGTCGAGTGTGGAGGCAACAGCAACCCCGCAAGCTGGCGACGACATGATGCTGAAGATGCAAAAGGCGCTCGAAACACAGGAAATGGAGATTGTGACGCTCAAGGAGCAGCTGGCCATACGGTCCGCGGAGTATGCCCGCCTGGCCGCCCAGTACGATCCCTTCCGGCTACAGAACCGTGCTGGTGGTGGTAGTGGCGGAAACACGGCACCCTCAGCCCAGGCAGGAGGACCACCGTCGCTGAGCAGCGGCGAACCCCTGCCCGAGTATGTGCTGAAGGCGGATCTGGACTATGCTCTAATGATGCTCCATCAGCGGGATATGCGCGTCGAGGAGATGATTTTGGAGCTGGTGCAGCTGCTCGAGGAGCGGGATCATCTGCAGCTGAAGCTATCGGACACGCTACGTCAGCTGGAAACAGAAAGGAGCCGCGTCAGCGACGAAGGTGAGTAGCAGCCAGGATTCTCTGGGGGATAAGCAACACTAAAGTCCGTCTCCCTTCTCTCCCCTGCAGCTTCGTCAGGCACTCCCAGTCAGCAGAGCAGCGCTGCGAGCAGCAGCGGCGCGGAAACGCAGCAGCAGAGCGTGGCAGCATCCGCCGCCGGCAGGAGTGACCTGAAGCAAAAGTGAGTCCCAGATTGATATAAGATACATTAGAACTATTCAATTATACCTTCTGCATCCTCTTCCACCTTGCTCTCCCAGGCTGGCTGAGCTTCAGACGGTGAAGCATTCCAAGGACAAGGCCATCGTAGATGAACGCGAGCAGCGTTTGCAGCAGATGCTCCAGCTGCAAAAGGACATGGCCAAGCAGGCAACCGGAGCGGGAGCGGGACCACAGCAAGTGCCTTCGCAACCGCCGCCAACCGTCGGCGTGGATCTTAGTGAGTGGATGCGACCCTAAACCAACCATCAAGTGACTCGCTAAGATCCCAAAAAACTCATCCAATAATCTGCAGTCCAGCCCGCGCTCCGCTCGCCTTCGATGATGCTCATGGACTGGATATTGGGCAGCAGCAGCAGCAACAATAATAGCGAGGGAGAGTCGGCGGCGGCTCAGCAGGACTAACCGTACCAATCACTACTTAAATCTTCAATCTGGCCTTCCCTGCGTCGACTCCTTTTACGATATTATGTACCTTGGCTAGCTAAAGAATATAAGAAACTAAGAAGAAAGCTCTTCCCCCGTTTTCCACTCCCGAATACCATTCATCAAGCTGAATTCCCAATTTTATGTTGTAGATATGTAAAAATTGTATAAAAAAGAAAACTAAAAAAAACAAAACGAAATGAAACGAAGCCGAAGTTGAAGATAAAACGGAAATTAAGAATAAAAGCCCAAATATGTTTACAGATATACATAAAATGACTTAGCTTTTTATGACTTTAAAGCTTAGTTATGACTTTTTTAAACTATGATTTTTATGGGAATGTTTTCCGAATTAAAATTAATCCTTTTTTCACTTGGTTATAAGTTTAAAGCTATGGGATTTTATCGAATGAATTATCGAATCATCGATAGTCGCCAAATATAATCGATGTTTCAAGAACTTTTTGACAACATGGATGTTTTGTGGTCGAGAAGAGTTAAAAATATAAAAGAAGGCCTATTTAACTACTTACAATTAATTAAATACTAAATACTAATACTAATTATATTAAACAAGCAAATTATATATTGGTTCAAGCTTATCGATATCACACGAGGCCACTCACGCACGCTACGCGGTGTTTCGGTTGCCCTGAAACACGGTCACACTGCCGCGTATTGTACAAACAAAAATTGTTTGCGAGTCCCAAAAAAAGTGAATAAATGTTGTTGCCACGGCCCAACTGACGCTGCGCCGCGCTGTGTCTTGTGCCTGTACCCACGCGAACCCGTATCCCTTCGCAGCGCGTTCAAATCCCGTGTCAAAACCCTACGTCCGGAAAGAGCGTCATAGTAAACATAGTTCTCGGTTCGTTTTTTTTTTTTTTTTTTTTGTTAATAGCAAACACAAACACGTTCGGCAGACGCACGCTCACACACGCGCGCACGGAACAAACAAAAATAAAGCGTAAAGTTCGAGGTGAAAACGCAAAAAAGCCTTCTTCTTCACCTACATCTACATCCCGATCCCCGAACGGATAACGTCGGGTTCAGGCGCCATGTCGCGGGTGCTCAGTCCGCGGAAGCAGGGCGTGGCAGAGGCGAAAACGCAGGCGGTGGAGTCCCGGGACTACACGTGCAGCTCCAAGTCTATTATCGAGTTCCTGGCCAAGGAGCAGGACTGTGGCGGCCTGGCGGACCCGGATCCGGAAAGTATCTTTCAGGAGGTGAGCCGCCTGTCCGACAGCACCGACATGCGGTCCGTGGACGAGCTGCTCCAGGAGGCGGAGCGCCTCATCCAGCAACAGCTGCGTCTTGGCGGCATTGGAACGGACCTGGACGTGGGACACGCTGAGTCTCACGAGCCCTTAGCCTTCAGAACCAATGGTGGCGCCGGCGCCGGGGATGGTTCTGTGGCCGGCGGTGACGCCTCCTCGTCCTCGCCTCCGTCAGCATCGCCGCACAGCAGTATTCGTCTCAACACACGCTACACCCATCGCATCGAGCACTTGCCGGCTCCAGTGCCGCCAAAAACACCCGTGGTCAACGGTAGCAGCGGCAAGGCCAGGCCCAGATCCGGCTCCAAGTCCTCGGCCTCGCCCACATCGGTGGCGGAGATGACGCCACAGATGAGCGGCAGCATGGAGGGCAATGGAGCCTGTACTGGGGGTGGCTTCGCCGCCTTTGTGGATAACCTGCCCTCAGAATCAGTCATTTCGGAGGAGTCCACGCCCAAGGATATGGATATGGAGAACAATACGGCCACCTTGGCGCAGCTGGAGTTGCAGTCACAGGAAAACACCGACGATGATGAGGATACGGTGAGTGAGACTGGATTTTAAATACCGCTTCCCTTATTCTTCCCATTTGCTGGTGGTTTAGATTGAGGATCTTATTTGGAGAAGGATCAAGTGAGGAAGGGGTCTATATAAAAATTCCTGTGTTGAAATATATCTTAATGGTTATATTCGAATCTTAAAGCGAAGAATTCCTATTCTCTAATTCAACAGTTACGAATTAGAATTTGGTTTTAAAGAAGGTACATAGTACCACCCTCCACTCTTTCCTTAATAACATAAACAAGGTATTCCCCCCAAAGGAAACTCCATCTCAATGTAGGGTAATAAATAGCAAAAATTTCTTTATTTATCCGGCATACTGGATGGATGAACACTCCACCCAGCCAGCCAGGCAGACGGCCCCCTCCTTAAAGCAGAAGCATTCACACAGCGAGAGGAGAACAGAAGCACACTTTATAACATAAACAGGCAATCACCAGACACAGGCACACACACTGTACATATTCCAGCAGGCACACAAGGTGGGGGTTTAAAAAAAATAAAACATTAGTTACAGACTTTAGATATTAACCAGAGGAACTGGGTCCAATTGCCTGGGCCACCGTTTCGGCCACTGTCCAGCCCTCGAGTGCCGTGTCCTTGATGAATCTGGGCGGCAGGACAAAGCCATAGGCTCCGCGATCCCTCAGCTCAATGGTGTACACATACTTGACGCCCAGGGCCGCGCGACTCCAATCGTCGGAGCCACCGCCGGCAATGCCGAGCACCTCGTGCGTAACCGCCGCTCTGTAGGTGGTGCCCGTCTTCTGGGCAATCCGCTCTGCCGCCAGGCTACCCACACGCTGCAGAATGCTCGAGTCCTTGACCTTGACGGCCTTGTAGGCCCACGGGTAGACGATCATCTGGCCGTAGCTGTGGTACGTCAGATACGACTCCAGGTTGTACTTGCGCTTGGCCAGAAACTCAGCCACCGCCTTCGTCTCCAGCTCGGAGGCGGGCGATGAGCCGCGATAGGTGTCCCGGCAGGGATTAGTCGACGATCCATAGCCATTCCATCCAATATCAAAGTTTCGGTTGAGGTCCACGCCGCTGCACTGACTCTGACGCGAAGGCGAGCGATTCTTGCGCCACAGGCGGTTCGTCTTTCGGCTGTACTCGTAGCCATCGGGATTCATCACGGGCATAATGTACCAGGTGAGGCCGCGGATGTGCGACGGCTGGTTCTCCCAGTTCGACATCAGTTGGTAGAGGATAAACGTGACCGTGGCGGGGCTGATCCATTCGCGTGCATGAATGCCGCCGTCGATCCACACCTTCTTGTACTCCGGGGATTTTCAGAGATTCTAGGGGGAAGAGAGAGGTTATCAGTGTGTTAGGAAGAGGAGCTCCTGCGGCCACTACCTACCTCAGCACCTTCAGGTCACGACCCTCGGCCGTCTGGCCAATGGTATACAGTCGCACAATGTTGGGGAACTTGCTGCGGATTTCCCGCATAAAGCTATAGATGGTATCCAGGTCATGGTAGTCCTTCCAGTGCATGCTGCTCCTGGTGGCCTTTTCTGTGGGGTTTAATCAATTGAATCGATTATTTGATTCCTATATCTCCCAGCCCCCCCTGCACTACTCACTCGCTCTCTTTCCCTGCTGCGAGGCCGTGGCCTGGATCCCTTCGAGCAGCTCTTCGTCGATCATTGACTGAATGTTCTCCGACAATATCTGGGCATCCAGTCGATGGGCTGAGAGGAAACTGCGCGCCGCCTTCAACTGATCCCGGGCAATGGAGATGTCCAGGAACTTGGAGTTCTCCTTCCAAATGTTGCCGCCAAACTTCTGCTCGAGCATCTGGCCCACGGGCACGCGGCGTTGCATGGCCTCCGATATGTTGTAGATCCGCCAGAGCTGTGCCTCATCGTAGCGCTGTGGAATCTCGTTGACATCCAGCAGAGTCTGATTGCCGGCTGGCATGGAGTCGATGCAGGAGGCAGCAACGATGGATGCTGCCAGGAGCAGCAGCATCAAAAGATGAGGTCGTGAGCGTGACAGCGTCATCGTTACGTCTGCGAGCAGGTTGACCTCTGCAAAGATAGTTCGCAATCTGTAAACAGTGATCGGCAATCGGTAATTAGCGAGACCTTATCAGTGCGGGCTGTCATTCAGGTTGGGGCTGCTAAGTAATTAACTGCAGATTTTATTGGCAGACTGAAAATTCCCCACTCTAGAGTATAAAGCTCGCATTTCCAGTGACACTGTCACGATTTTCCCATTTATTTGCTTGGCTACCAAGCTAAAAAGCATTACTTTAAAAAAATAATTACCACTAGCAGATAGTTAAAATTTGAAAGGTCAGAATAGTATTTATTGCTGGCCATTATAGACTGTATTTAATGTGCTGTCAAGTACTTTCGGTGTCATCCGGTAGCGACAACTGGATGTCATGTTTTCTAAAACCACTTCTTAATAGTTAATTTAGTAGAATATTCCACGAATTACTCTATTTTCCAAATGCTTTCTGAGTAGCAGATATCCTTGTACCTGTTTTTGTTCAATTGTTACTATTGTCCAGTGATATCCCTGCGTTCTGATTACGGTTTTTCCAGTGAAACCCATTGAACGTCCAAACAAGTCGCTCTGCTAGCGAAAACTAAACCCCAAAAACGAACCTGAAAGCTGAACTCCAACTACTAATGGAGGCAGTGAAAATAATTGTTATAAAAAAGTTGGTAATTATCGAGAAAATATAACAAAAAACACCATACATATTTCCGTTCCATTGTACCTGGTTATAGTTATCTAGATGCGTGAGTAACCCTGTTTTTTTTTTACCTTTGTCATTGTCAATCAGTAATTATAAATAGTAGATAGCTTTAATGGGTTTGCAAACTTTGTAATGGAACAGGGAACCTTTTTTCTGCACCGAAACAAAATTTAATTAAGTTAATGGTTGTTTAACAAATATCTTTCTAATTTTATTAATCATAATATACGTCATTTACATTATTTTTGGGAATTCTCTTTTTTAGTAATAATAAGAATAAATTTCATTTGAACAATCAGTAATTAAAAGAATACACTTTTAATTTGCCTTTGCACAAGTTTTTTGAGTGTATCAAACGTGTTCATGTTAAACCTTCAAAAGAAATACAAAACTGTTCAGTTGTTGATCTAACCAATTTGCATTGTTTTACGGATTCCAAAGGCGATCGATCAATCGATCGATCCGTGAGGTTCCCCAAGTTCCCCGAGTTCCGGGGCTAGTTTTGTTTATTGACTTTGTTAGCTTCGTCTAGAGATGTTCTCAGTGTGTTTCGAATGCACAATGTGCGGAATGAATGGGCTTTACACACAGGAGGAGCTGTGTGGGTCTGGGGCTAGGTGTGTCTTAGCCAATGGACCCTAGATCTAGATTATGGGCATGGAAAGCTTTTCCCGGTCTTCTGACTAAGATTTCGAAACCTCGTTTTTAACGCTTCTGTGCTAATTTCCCTGGCCCGTTTCTTTGGTTTTATTTTCATTTCTCTCTTTTTTTGTAGTTTTTTTTATGGATGCGTATTTGTATGTTATTTTCGTGTTTATTTCCCAGTCAGAAAGTGGCACTTGAACGTACTTCTGAGAACTGGTTCTCGTTCGGATCTCTCGCACCTCAGAATCTCGGATCTCGGGAGTCAGTCGAAACACAGGATTGGGTTTCGTTTTGTTTCGGTTTCAATTCGCTGGTGTTTACCTCGACCTTCGTGCCGAGACCCCAACCCCCATCGGTCGTGTTCTCCTTCCATTAACTGCCTCTCTCCGATGTTGTTTTTAAGATAGTTGGAAAAACAACCGAATTGCCTGAGTTTACGCCAAAGCTGTTCCTCCTTTTAGTCTTTATATGCAAATTACGAAAGATTAAAGGGAAAGTATAAAATAATTAAGACACTGCTCTTGGGTAAATCCCTAATTAGTACTTGCTGCTCCAACGAAAGGAAAGAAAACGTAATTGGGCCTAATGAGCATCATGTAAACTGGTTGGGTTGAGGGACCGAATATTAATATTGAAAAGACTCGATCGAAAGTGATGCCCCGCCCCCAATGAATTGGTAACTTCCTTGTTGGTTGGTTGTAATTGTATACCTTATGATCTCATTTTCCCTCACTCCCTGTCGCAACTATAAAAACAATAATAACAAGAATACCTTTCAGTTTAGGTATTACATTTACATTTATAAAAAATCGATTAGATAGATCGAAAATCCTTCGATCTTCAAGTATTTTATTGACACAGAAGATTAAATTTTGTTTGGTAAACAATTATTCAAAAGAATCTCTGTTATTTGATCTTAACTTTTAGACGACCTCCGATCCTTACTTTCAGGTCAATTTTCTCTTCCTGTTCTTCTCCCTTGCACTCTCTTCATCCCTGATTCTTCCCGTATTCTCTTCGGCTCTTTCTCTCTCTCTCTCGCCGCTCCGTTAATTCTTCTGCAATCTTTCTGCAGTTACATTTTGTTTGTTGATTTTGTGTTCTATCTGAATTTGTTTTTGCACTTTTCACTCTTGCCACTTGTGTTCTCCACTTACCGCTTTCTTTTGTTGTTGTGGCTGTCCCGGGGATGCAGTTGCTCGTGTTCTGGTACCTCCTCTCCTGCTGCTTCTGCTTCTGCTTCTCTTCGTCGCCGGCTCTCCTGGGCTGCTGTGTGTGCGTGGGCGTGAGCGTGTGCGTGGGAGAGAGTGTGTCGCTGGCTGAGCGTCGAACTCCGACTAAATGCTGCGCTTGTATGCGCTTCAATTTTTATATTGCCGCTCTGCCGGCGCAAGAGGGGCTGCTACCAAAACAAAACAAAACAAAAAAACAACACACAAAAGCATACACAACACGAAACTGAGAATGACAAAACAACACCACTACACTACAACAAAAAGATGAGCTAAACTGTTGTAAATTTTTGCGCTGACCGACCGATCTTTAAAACGATCGTCGTGTAAATGGAAATGGAAATGAAAACGGCAGTGACAGCGACAGCGACTGCGACTGCGACAGCGAAGTCGGCAAAGCACAATGGTCAAGCGAACCACATTTCTGGGCTAAAACCCAACCATTTTAAAGTTTTGTTAATAAAGTTGACATACCAAAGTCTGATATTTCCAAACGAACGTGCAGAGGAAATCAATGTATCATAATCATTTTAAAAATAACGAAAGCTCGATCAGTTTGTATGATCAAATATTTAAAATTAATTTGAATCACTGAGGTTTGAACTGCCTAAACTTGAACTTTAGTTATGCTTTTGTAATTCGATGTTAAAATAATCTGGATAATCCAGCATCTTCACTTAACTACAACATTAAGTTTAATAAAGGTTCAAGTAGCTCTTAAAATGCGCCCCAAATAAGTATTGTCTGGACCACTGTGCAGTGGCAGAGGCAGCATCAGCAGCGACATGCGCCGGCGTCAGATAGTGTGTGAGTGAGAGAGGGAAGCCGATCTCCACGCACTCACGCTCTGTCTCTGTCTGGCCTGCATTATGCAGGTGGGGGTAGATCCAGAGAGTGCAACGCCCACGCAGCGAGTGCCGCCACCTCTCCTCTCCCTCCTCCTCCCATCACTCGACATTGACACTTTGCTTTATGCGTGACGTCTCTTGCCACTCATTGACGCGCACCAACACACCCACGCAATCCGTGAGATGCACTCGGATGCATTTACGGCTTCCAAAGAGCTGCCAACTCGTAATAAGATGCGATTCCCCATGAGTCACGAGTTCGGTCACAGAATTCTTGTCTTTCTCCGATTCTTGGGATTTTCAGCGATTCATTAATTATGATATGGTAATTATGCAGTGCAAGAAATAAATGTAGACATTAGATGACTCCCAAATGTTTGTAAATTAAAAAAACAGAAGAGAAAAGTTCTTTCGAAGGAAGAAAACAAAACGTATTATGACAAAAATGTCTTTTTTATCACTTTTAATATAGATTTTTCAGCTTAAATTCATAAATGAAATTCAGTGATCTTTGCTGTATTATCAGTTTAAAACAGGCGAACCTACTATATGTTTTGAAATTCGAATTAGGTTAGCAAGCCCCTGTGTCTCTCTCTCCTTCTCTCTGACTATCTTTCTGTCCCTCTTTTCGTCTTTCGGATAGGAGCTGAGGCACACAAGTTCACGATTAATATCCAATTGGATTACACACTGGATGCGTGTAGTTAACTCTGTGATTGTGTGACGGGGCAATATTGACCCACTTGGCGAGTTTTACTTTCTTTTGCCTTTTGATCAGACCCCAGTTGAGTTTTTTATTTTGATTTTGCCTCCAGGCTTTATTTATTTTGGTTTTGTCTCTTACTACGTTTCCGTTGTTTTTTTTAGTGTATATTTTTATTTCTATTTTTATTTGCACCCAGATTTTCACTTTTAACCCTTTCTTCGAGAGAAGTGGAAGCCACAATGGAAGATTTTTTCGGGGCAGCACTACTTTCGTCCGTTGTCCGTTGACTGTTCATTGTATAGTAAACAGTCTGTTACACTGCAAGAAATATTTAGAATTTTAGCATACAAGATTTGGTCTAATTTTTGTTTCTTTTGATCTTAAATATGTATTTATTTCTTGCGTGTAAAAGTGTATATTCTTTGTTCCTTTAAAGGCTGTTGCCGCTAAGGAGTTTTTTTTTTCTTTTTCGTTTCTTTTGTTGTTTATTTAGCTTGGCGCTTAAATCACTTTCTTCGATAGCTCTTTGACTTTGACTTTGCCGGCTGGTGGCGGCGATCGCCGCGGGCCTTTCGCTTAATTTCTATATGCATGCACAAAATAAATCCAATTAAATATGCAACAACAAAAGGAGCCGAGGAATAGCAACAAATGAGCAAGAAAAGAGCAAAAACAAAACATCAGAAGCGTTGAGCCGAGCTTACGAGTTTTTGAAACGCGATTGAAAGTGAAAGTTGAGGCGGGTATCTCTCTCGCTCTTTTTTCTTTGCCTCTCCAGTGTGGCCTCTCTTTTAGCTTTCTATTTACCTTTGTTTGAAGCATTCTGGTTCGCTATTTTTTACAATTTTTTTCTATATGTTATTGGTTTACCTTTTTGGCCAGGTTTACATAAGACGCCTCATTAATGTTTGTTTGATATGGCGATAGACGAGCTACACAAGCGATTGCGAAATCGATAAACGAAAACGGTTACAGAGCTAGCTCTCGATGTCTTGCTTCTTCTCTTAATCGCTCACTTTCCAGCTTAGGTAAGAGTTAGTTGCTCTCTGGAGAAATGGCACACTTTAGTACACTGTTTTACGCCAGAGAAGCTTTGGCTTATACAGGCGAGGCCTGAAAGTATGCAATGGAGAAATGAAGTGCAAAAGAGTTAACTTAATATTAAATTGAATACCCTTCCAGGGTATTATAAATGTAGTCAGAAGCTTAAAACAAAGTGAAACAGTCATTTCCGACCCTATATTCCATATATATTCTTGATCTGCATAAACAGGCGAATCTTTCTAGTTATAAAAGAGAGAAATAATTTTTTTTAATTTTTTGCACAATTTTTTAGCCGTTTTTTTCATTGTTAATATATTGAAAAATCGACAAAATTTGAAATGGCTTAAAAGTGTAATTAAGGTATGCAGACTTATTAACCTATTCAAAACTAGAACAGAACAGCTTTCCGAATCGAAATTAATGCATTTTTGACATAGTTATGCATTTTTTAAACCAAAATATCGAAATATTGGTTAAAAAATGGTATTGTTATTTCAGTCAGAAGCTTAAAAATAAGTGAAGAAGTCATTTGCGACCCTATATTCCATATATATTATTGATCAGCATTAACAGGCGAATCTTTGTGAATATAAAACAGAGAAACAAATTTTTGAAAATTATTTTCCACAATTTTTGAGACGTTTTTTCATTGTTAACATATTGAAAAATCGACAAAATTTCAAATAGTTTATAGGAGTAATTTAGGTATGCAGATTTATTAACCTATTAAAAACTAATACAGAACAGCTTTCCGTATCGAAATGAATTCATTTTTACCAAAGTTATGGGTTATTTAATCTTTGATTTGTAGAATAAATAGTTATATATAAATATCGAAATATCGAATCAAAAAAAGGTATTATAATTTCAGTCAGAAGCTTAAAACGCATGGAAGGAGTCATTGTCGACCCAATATTCCATATATATTCTTGATCAGCATTAAAAGGAGAATCTTTCTAGGCTTAAAAGAGAGAAACCAATTTTTGAAATTTTTTTTCAAGTTTTTTAAGCTATTTTTTTTCATTGTTAACATTCTGAAAAATTGACAAAATTTGAAATACTTTACAAATGTAGTTTGAGTATGCAGATTTATTAACCCATTAAAAACTAAAACAGAACTGCTTTCCGAATCGAAATTAATGCATTTTTGGCTGAGTTATGAGTTTTTTAAATATTGATTTGTAGAATAAATTGTCTTATAAAAATATCGAAATATCGACTAAAAACGGTATTATAATTTCAGTCGGAAGCTCGAAACGCAGTGAAGGAGTAATTTCCGACCCTATATTCCATATATATTCTTGATCAGCATAACCAGGCGAATCTTTCTAGGTATAAAACAGAGAAACAAATTTTTGAAATTTTTTTTCAATATTTTTTCAGCCGTTTTTTACATCATTAACATTCTGAAAAATCGACAAAAATTTAAATAGTTTAAACATGAAATTTGAGTATGCAGATTTATTAAATTATTCAAAACTAGAACAGAATAGCTTTCCGAATTGCAATTAATGCATTTTTAGCTTAGTTATGAGCTTTTTAGGTTTTGAATATTAAAATAAATTATCATATGCAAATATCGAAATATCGAATAAAAAATTTCAAATTTTGTAAATTTTAAATTTAGTATGCAGATTTATAAATCTATTCAAAACTACCACAGAACAAGCTTCCGTGTCCAAATTTATGCATTTTTGAACAAGTTATACATATATTTTAAGTTTCATGAAAATCTGTAGAAAACTGGAAAAGTTGTAATTTTTGTTCCTAAAATTTTCCGATCGATCCTATGACAGCTATATATATGTATATATGAAGTCCACCGATTCTCCTGCTCCGATTTATATACTAGTAAAATAATATAGAAAAATATCTCAATAGTTTCTTTCAAATAGCTTTCTCTTGAATCTGTTCCAAAACAAATCTCGCACATCTGCGCTTATGATTCCCAACTGTGTTCTAACATCCCCGGAACGAAGTGACTGCTACCGGACACGACTTAAAAATGTGTTGTTTCTAAAGTTGCAAGTCATTGTTTATTAGTGTTCAAAGTTAGTAACTGATCATACATACATACTTACTGGTCTTAAAGAATTACTGATTAAAGTTAATTACTGACCATCGTTTCTTACTGTTCATAAATACTTTGGGTTCAGAGTTACTTACTGTTCATAGTTAATTATTGGTCATAGTTAATTACTGGTCTTAGTTTTATAAATCGTCCGATTGTTCCTATGCCAGCTATATATATGTATATATATAGTCCACCGATTCTCCATGCTCCGATTTATATTCTAGTAAATTTATATAGAAGAATAACTCCATAGTTTCTTTCAAATAGCTTTCTTTAAATATGTTCCAAAACAAATCTCGCACATGTTTATGATTCCCAACTGCTTCTAACCTCCCCGGAACGAAGTGACTGCTGCCGGCCACGTCTCAGATATGTGTTGTGTTTCAAAAGTTGCAAGTCATTGTTTACGAGTGTTCAAAGTTAGTAACTGATCATACATACACACTTACTGGTCTTAAAGAATTACTGATTAAAGTTAATTACTGACCATCGTTTCTTACTGTTCATAGATACTTAGGGTTCAGAGTTACTTACTGCTCATAGTTAATTACTGGTCATAGTTTTATAAATCATAGTTTTATAAATCGTCCGATTGTTCCTATGGCAGGTATACATATGTATATATATAGTCCACCGATTCTCCATGCTCCGATTTATATACTAGTAAAATTATATAGAAGAATAACTCCATAGCTTCATTTAAATAGCTTGCTTTAAATTTGTTCCAAAACAAGTCTCGCACATGTTTATGATTCCCAACTGGTTCTAATATCCCCGGAACGAAGTGAGTGCTACCGGCCACGTCTCAGAAATGTGTTGTTTCAAAAGTTGCAAGTCATTGTTTATTAGTGTTCAAAGTTAGTAACTGATCATACATACATACCTACTGGTCATAGAGAATTACTGATTAAACTTAATTACTGACCATCGTTAGTTACTGTTCATAGATACTTAGGGTTCAGAGTTACTTACTGCTCATGGTTAATTACTGGTCATAGTTAATTACTGGTCTTAGTTTTATAAATCGTCTGATTGTTCCTATGGCAGGTATATATATGTATATATATAGTCCACCGATTCTCCATGCTCCGATTTATATACTAGTAATATTATATTAGAACAGAACAGCTTTCCGAATTGCCATTAATGCATTTTTAGCTTAGTTATGAGTTTCTTAAGCTGTGATTTGTAAAATAAATTGTCATAGGAAAATATCGAAATATTGACTCAAAAGATGATATTATAATTTCAGTCGGAAGCTCGAAATACAGTGAAGGAGCTATTTCCGATCCTATATTCCATATATATTCTTGATCAGCACAAACAGGCCAATATTTCTAGGCATAAAAGAGGGAAACAAATTTTTGAAATTTTTTTTCAATATTTTTTAAGTCGTTTTTCACATCATTAACATTCTGAAAAATCGACAAAAATTGAAATAGTTTAAAAATGTAATTTGAGTATGCAGATTTATTAACCTATTAAAAACTAGAACAGAACAGCTTTCCGAATCGAAATTAATGCATTTTTGGCATAGTAACGAGTTTTTTAAGCTTTAATTTGTAGAACAAATTGTCCAATATAAATGTTAAAATATCAATTCAAACTATTAAACTTAGTTGTGATCGATTTCATATTAAATCCTATAATTTAATTGAAAACTGCAAAAGTATTTAAGTTTCGGCGTCACGGAACTATGAAGTTTTTTTTCCTTTTTTTCATTTATTAAAAAAAATCATAAATAAATAAATATATTTTGTTGAGGTTGGAAAACTCTGTCAGGATTTTACTGCAACTGCTGGGCTATGATCCTTAAGAACTCGAACACCTCCTCCCCCGACTCCACTATATAGTGTGGGGGCATCAGGTAGCCGTAGCGTCCCTGATCCTTGAGGAACATATCGTACACCAGTTGACCCCCAACGCGATCCTGCACCCAATCCGCCGAGTTCCCTGGCCTGGCCAGCTTCTGGCGGTAGCTGGTGCCCGACGAGTACTCCGCCTGGTTGAGTCTCCTCAGGGCGAGCACAGCCCTCCTTGCCACATGCTTCAGGTCATGCTGGTTCTCCGTCACAAAGTCGGCGTCGCCCCAGGGATAGGCAATGGCCTGGCCATAGCCTCCCAGGGATATATATGCGCCGAGATACTCGCGCAATCCGGTCAGGAAGCTGCGCAAAGCGCGGGTCTCCGGCTCGGAAAAGCTCTTCGGTCCACGATAGAGGTTCTTGCAGGGACTGCTCGTGGAACCAGTGCCTCCCCAGCCGTACTCAAAGTTCCTGTCCAAATTGACGCCATAGCAACCGGTGGCCGGATCATGGGCTCGGTTTTTGGTCCAGAGGCGGTCCGTGTGCCGGGAGTACTGATAGCCATCGGGGTTGGCCAGGGGCAGGAAGTACCAGTCAATGTCACGCATTGCCTTCTCCAGCTGGCCCTGGTCCCAGAGATAGGTCAGCTTGGACAGGGCGTAGGTCAAGGCGGCGGGACTCAGCCAATCCCTGGCCTGCATCCCAGCATCCACAAACACGGCCCAGTTATCCGGATTGCCATTGGAGACTCTGTCAGCGGAAAAGGGATGATAATTATGCACCAGAATCCCCTAAAGGGAAATCCTCTGAGCCCTCACCTGATGACCTCCATTGGTCGCTTGTTGCGCGTGACTCCAATCTGTATGATTTCCACCATCTCCGAGTGGTGCTCGAGCAGCGTCTGCATGAACTGCTGGATATCGGCCTGGTCATGATAGCGCCGCCAGCTCATCAGCGTTCCCGGTCGCTCCATCCAAGGCAGTGAGCCATTCCGGACGGTGTCCAGCGGGTGCTCCACGGCCGGCACTTCCACATAGGTCTCATCAATGGCGGCTTCAATGTCATCGATCATGATGTTGTAGCTGAATCCGACCTTCTCCATGAACTTCCGGGCATTGGCCACATTCCGCTGCTCGATGAGGATATCGATGCCATCCTGGTTGATGTTCCACACTTCGCTGCCTGCGAATAAATACGTACATACATTCTACAGTAACTACTTCTTGGGGTTTCTCCAACTTAAACCAGAAGAACCTTGAAATATCTCCCACGAAACCCAAACTATATGCAAATATTATGCTTTTAGTTCACGTTCGTCGCGGAACAGGTCTATAGGAATTATACCCTGACATAGATTTATAGATATTCCCCCGCTCAAGCCAAGTACCAAAGTGTCGCCAAAAGGCCCGAAGCTGCGGCTGGGCCAGTCTCGTCTCATGGACCTTCCACAGCTGATGCCCATGGTAGCGTTGCACATGGCTCCCATTGCGATAGCGCCTGTTGATCTGATACGAGGATCCTGGGGAGAGGAAGTCGTAGCGTCGCAAATCCGTCGGCGAGAGCCACTGCAATCCTTCGAAGGTGGTGGCCACCAGTTCGCTGCTGTTTAGGGTCAGCAGAGCCAGCGGCAGGCCCGAGAGCCCTGTGAGTTCCGGCACAGAGACACTACGCCAAAGGAGAAGACGCTGGCGGCTGATGCCTAGAACTGCTCCACATCCACCTCCTCCTCCTCCTCCGACTCCGAGTAGAACTAGAACCAGGAGCAACATCTTCTTGGGCTCCAAGTTCAGCACTAAACCAGCAAGCATATTCCGTCTCTTGTGTGTTAGTGGGAACGATTAATGCTAAATTTATGCGTGAGAATGCGTGCTCAGGTGGCGATTTCGAACCGAACTGAGCTCGACTCGAGCCCAGTTGACCTGACCTGATGATCTGCCTGGCCCTGGCCCTGACCCCTCCCAAAAACGTGCCACAGGCGGGGTTAGAATAATAGGAGCTCTAGTTTAGGGTTTTCCTTCGTAATATCTAAAGATTTGATAATGATAAAGCTGGTTCGTTATATTGAATATTTCGTGATCTATGAACTTAAGACAATAATATAGAAGTAACCATTATAAATGCTTGTCACAACTCTCTTTACTCTTCTTATAGCTTGATAAAAACCTGATAGATTTGTATTAATGTTTTCCTTTAAAAATACTCTATGTATAACCTATGAATTGCCATTTCTATACCTATTTGTCTGACCTGAGCTGTACGGCTTTTGGCTTGACAATTTCTCTTCTCTTGTGAGGCACAGACTTGTGATTCGACGGACTTCACGAAAGGCCCTTAGGGCCATCGCCATCAATTTTAATTCGATTTAGAACCGCGGCCGTGACTCACCGAATAGAGCAACCACCTCGTTGAACTGGGCATCCGGTGAGGAGTCGTCGTTGTCGTCCACCTGTCGCCCCTGCTCCAGTTCCCCCGACTCGGCCTCCTCCTCCTCGCGGTCCTCCTCCATGGATGATCCTCGAGTGGCATTAAAGTTAAGCTTCCATAGCTGGGCTCCGCGGTAGCTCACGTAGTTGGGGTCCAGTTCGCTGCGCAGCTCGTTGATCCGGCCACTGGGTGGGGATGGGGGATTCCCCATGGCCAGTGGGTGCAGATAGCGCAGCAGGTGACCCACTCCGCCGCCAAAGAACGGTAGCCTCGTTAACCGATTATCTGTGCGGGCCAAGTCCAGGTGATTCCTCCTGTCCACGCCCACGACTCGGGTGATTAGCATGGCCAAGAGCATGATTAGTGGCAGCCACGCCCACTGGGATGGGAGGAGGTGCATGGTGCTCCCTCTATCCGTATCTCTATCTCTCTTTTCTGGGGACTTGCAGAGTTCGCTGGGCTCTGGGGAAGTCGGAACTGGTGCGATCGAGGTGACTGTTGGTGCGGATTTAAGGCGTCCGCAAATCAATTGGCGAGCCGCAGCCTCCGGCTAACGGCTTATGGCGATCTCAATTCTCCAGTCTCCCGTTCTCCGTTCTCTGTTCTCCATTCTCCATTCCCCATGATCCATGCTCCGTGGTCCATGGCCTATTCTCTTCGTTCCTCTCTCCCCTCGCTGCCGCATTTCTCCCCGATTTTAAGCCCAATTCCCCAATTAAGGCCATCACATTTGCATATTGACGGAGCGCCGGCTATTTTGATGTTTTTATTTATGCTTTTTAGTGTGACTTTTACTTTGGCTGAGGCGTATGTATATTCTGTTATATGTAGTGTTATACTCGTGCCTAAACCCGAGGCGAGGGAAGGCACCAAAGTTGTGAGAGATTTAAGATAATCGCACATATATTTTTATATATTTTTACCTTTGATTTGCGTATTAGATTATTTCTTAATGATCTAATTGGTTGTACTAAATTGGATTTGCTCAAGTTATTTCCTTTCTGTTTTACATTTTATTTCAGGCATTTAAAGTCCCAAAATATTAAGTATACGCAGAGGTGTTATTATATCCTTTCCGGATGAAGGAGTCATTTCCGACCCTATAAACCATATATATTCTTGATCAGCATCAACCGGCAAATCTTTCTGGGTATAAAAGGGAGAAACAATTTTTTTGACAATTTTTTCAAAATTTAATAAGGGGTTACATCATGAAAATTGGCAAAAATGCAATTTTTTTCATTTTAAATTGAGTAAGCAGATTTATTAACCTAACAAAAAGCAACATAGGAATGATTTCCGAATTGAAATCAATGCCTTTTTGGCTTAGTTATGAGATTTGTAAACTTTGATTTATTGAATAAATTGTCTTCTAAAAATATCGATAAATAGTGGATGATGATTTCCGATACGATCCTAAAACTCAATTGCAAACTGAAAGAGTTTATAAAGTTCGGCATCCCGATGTTAGTTTCTTTCATGTTTTTAGCGACATGCTTATTATGCTTTTGATAAAAAGAAAACAATCTTCTTTCTTTTGTATTTCTTGTATATTTTTTTCACTTTTTTCAATAAACATTTCTCAGTCTATTTCGATGAGTTTTTCGTTTGTTGTGTCTGTGTGTGTGTATGTGTGTTTGTGTCTTCAATTTGTCTAGTTACAAGTAGAATAAATAAATAAATAAATAATATTTATATATAAATAGCAAATAAAAAAAAAAATCATTGGATTGATTTACAATCTAAGAAATCGCATTGATCTAAGTCCAGGACAGGGCAGAACAGGGCAGGGCAGGACATGGATATTTAGTGGCTACGCCTCCGGCTGCCACTGCTGTTCCTGGCCACCGCCTTGCCGCGTCCCTGGGCAATGGCCCTGGCAACAGTATCGGCAAAGGTGTAGCCATCCTTGCCGTTGTACTGGATGAACCTGGCGGGCAGGACGAAGCCATAACGTCCGGTGTCTCCCATTTCAATGGTGTAGGCATACTTGATGCCCGCAATGCCCTTGGCCCAGTCATCGGAGCCGCCGGCAGCGGGATACAGAGTGGTGGCCGAAGATCCCACCGTATACTTAACACCCGTTGACTTGGTGATGCTCTAGGGGATTAGGAATCATATGATTAGGATAACACTGACACAATTTTAGGGAGTGGTAGGCAACTCACCGTTCCTGCCTGTCGTGCCACTCGATCCAGATCGGCACGGTCCTGGGTTAGCTGATAGTCGTAGCCCCAAGGATACAGGATGTACTGTCCGTAGCTGTGGAACGAGAGGTACGCCTGGAAGGTTTCGCGCGGGAATCCGCTGATGAACTTGGAAATGTAGAAGGTCTCCGGCTCGGAGAAGGCCTTGCTGCCGCGATACGTCTGGGAGCAGGGACTGGCCGAGGTGCCCTTGCCGCCCCACTTGTAGCCAAAGTTGCGATTCAGATCCACCCCGGGACACTGGCGTCCATGGGCCCGCATGTTCTTGCGCCAGAGGCGATCCGTGGTGTGCGAGTACTCATAGCCATCGGGATTGGCCACCGGGTGGATGTACCAGTTGATGCTGCGCATGTGCTCGGGCAGATCCTCCCAGCCCTCGACCAGTTGGTTAGCGATGAAGGTGACCGTGGCGGGACTGATCCATTCGCGAGCGTGCATGCCGCCATCGATCCAAACGCCAGGATTGCGGGCATTGCCATTGGAGATCCTTGGTGGAACACATCAAGATTAGCATTAGGTTTTATCTCAGAGGGGGAAATGCTTTCAAACTCACTTGAGTATCTTCAGGGGACGCTTCTCCACGGAGTAGCCAATGACCTCCGTCGAACAGATGTCCGGATAGGTCTTTGCCATGTAGTCAATGAAACCATGAATGTCCTCCAAGCGATGATAAGCCTGCCAGGTGAGACGGTGGCCTGCAATAGAGAATAGAGATTTCTGTCAGTTTTTAAAGGGGATAACCTTAACCTCCGGCTGAACCCCCGCTTGGGTTCATTGAACCTTCTTTCTAACGCCTAAGGAGGAGGAACCGAACCCTTAACCCTTGAGGCGAGGACGGTGGCGGCATCTTCTTTCGTCTTTCGTACACCATTCCCTGTTCCCTGTTCCCCGTTCCCTGTTCCCTGGCTATCGATTAAACAAACGCGTCTTGCAAGGACCCAGCCATCCTTCTGTCCGGTGCGTGGCACTTGGCACGTGGCCCAGGGTTCCTATGGCAAAGCCACTTTGCGCTCGATGACTTTTCACACGCCCCTCGCCGCGTGCATTAAATGCTCGTTTGCGGCGACACCTCGCCGGAAAAGCTACCCGAAAACGTGAAAAGCGAGAGGCCAAAGAAAGAAAAAAAAAAAAGGGGTGATTGCAGGCAGGCAGGCAGGCACCACCTGTCACTCTTATAAATATATATATAGGAATATAAATATATAGATAGAGGTTTAAAGGTTGCGGGTGGTGCAGGCAATTAGTTACTATTTCTTTTCGAATATAATTCATGTTGGGAAAAATAAGAGGGACTAGGCTTTCTCATCGATAATTGCCTTAATAAAGGAGAAGTCGGATGGATATCATACTGTTTTGATATATCTGTTTTCTCTTTATAGTTTCTAAACTAGTAATCTCTCCTTTAAAAGTCGCTTCCCTTGAATCTCTTTAGTTGCGTTCTTCTTTGGGTACCTTTGACTTTAAGGAGCTCTTCTTTACCAGAATCTCCTACCAGGAGCGGGATGATGGAAGCTACTGAGCTTGGAACCTCTCTATGTCCTACTCTCTCCATTCCCTATCCAAATCTCTCCCCTCTCCACTTACCCTTGCGATTCTGAAGCTCGGCAATCTTTTCCGCTGGCGGATTCTCCACTTCGATAACATGTTGCAGGTTGTCGATGAGCACAATCCGGGACAGATTGGCCGCACGAATGTGACGCTCGGCAGCGGCCAGAACTTGAGGCTTCAGTAGATAGTCCACCTCCTGCTTCACCTCCTTCCAGAGTTGGCCATCTTTAAGGGAGAAGTGTGATTAGATTCTCTTTCTTCCTGTTGTGGAATTTCATGTTCCTTGACTTACCATATTTGGACTGCAGTTCATCGGCCAAACGCTTGTCCTTGTCGGTTTGCACCACGATGCGCCACACCTGGGCGCCATCGTAGCGTCGCAGATGGGCATTGAACGGAGACTCCTCCTCGGCCTTGGGTAGTTCCGCCTCAGTCTGTTGTTGGGTAAGGAACGAGGCATTCACATAGTTGAGCACACTGTCCTGCACCTGGAGCGGCTGGGATGGAATCTGCGGCTGAGACTGGGACTGGGGTTGGGGCTGGGGCTGGGGCAGCACCATGGGTATGATGGTGGTCAGCAGGGAAGCAGGCTGCTCGGGCTGCTTGGGTTCCTCTGCTATGGCTTGGGGTTCCTTCTCCTTCTCCTTCTCTGCTTCGGGTTCGGCTTGGATTTCATCTTGGAGTTTGGCTGGAGCTTCAGCTGGAATATCAGCGGGAATTTCAGCAGGGATGGCGGAGGGAACTTCAGCTGGGATTTCAACTGGGATCTCCAATGGGATTTCAGCAGGAATCTTATCCTTGGGCTCTTCAGGTTTGATCTCATTGATCTCTTGCTGAATCTCGTCATTGTTGTGGGATTCCTCCTCTGGCTTGTGTTCGGGTTCAGGCTTGGCCTCCTCCTCTGGCTTAGCCTCCTCCTCTGGCTTGGCTTCCTCTTCGGGCTTAGCTGCCTCCTCTGTCTTGGTTTCCTCCTCTTGGGGCTTTGATTCCTCTTCTGGTGCTGCCTCTGCTGGGACTATCTCTGGCTGGACTTCCTTAGCGGGCTCAGCCTCCTGCTCTGGTTCATCGGCTAAAATGAGTTCGGGTTTCTTATCCTCTAAGGGCTCAACTTCGGGAGCTGCTTGCTCCTCGATGATTGTAGCTTCGGTGACAGGAGTAAGTTCCTCTGGCTCTGAAATAGTTTCCTGTTCCTGCTCCAGTTCCTCATTCTTGTTTTCGGTGGCCTCCGCTAGTTCCTCGGGCACCAGGTTGTCCATGGCAGCGGTAAGGCCTTCTTCGATATTCTCCGCCAGAGTTTCCATTAGGGAAGCCTCTGTGGTGTCCACTTCGTTGTCGCTGATCTTCTCCTGCTCGGTTTCGGTTTCTGTTTCATTGTCGGATTCCTTCTCCTGATCAGCCTGGACTTCGGCTGGGATTTCGGATGGAATTTCCGGCTGGGACTGGGCTTCAGGTTGGGCTTCCACTTCTGGCTGGGACTCAGCTTCGGGTTGAGCTTGAATTTCTGGCTGGGATTCAGTTTCTGGCTGAGTTGGCTCTGCTGGCTTGGCTTCAGCGTCTTGCTGAACTTCAAGAGCTACGACTTCTGGCTCGGATGCCTCCTCCTCTGGCTGGGATTCAACCTCCTGCTCAGCTTCTGGCTGAGATTCTGTTTCTTGTTGCTGAGACTCCTCAACTGCAGTCTCTTCAGCGGCTGGCTGCACTTGCTCTGGCTGCACTTCCGACTCCTCTGGCACCTGGTCGTCCATGGCCTGTTCCTCTGGCGTGGCCTGAGTGGCTGCCAGTGGCTCCTCCTCCTCCTCGGCTTCCGGCTGAGCTTCGTCCATGGCGGCAACTGGAGCTTGTGCTGCTGCTTCTTCGGTGGCACTGTCCACTGCCTGCTCCAGCTGGGCCTCCTGGCTGCTGCTGGGCTTCATCAGCACCACATGCTCCTCGATAGATTCCGGCTGCAGTTGCTGCTGCTGATCCTGCTCCTGCTCCTGCTCTGCCACTGTTATGTCGCTGGGCAGCTCCACCAGCTGCAAGGCTGGACTGGAGTCACTCTCCAGCATTAGCATGTCGGAGGCGGCACTGGCCGGATCCTCGGAGCCCGAGTCCGATTCAATGGAGTTGCGGTGCACGTGCTCGGTGTCCTCCAGTTGGCTGGCCACCGTTTCCGGCACCAGCATGTACATATCGGCGGCAGAGTCCGCCGAGGGGATCGAGGTCAGCTTCATGTCGTCCACAAGGACGTCCGTCTGGGATGGACCTCCGACTGGGGCTGGAGCGGGGGATTGATCCGCTGGCAGCTCGTTGCGCTCGAGGGCGAGGCGGTCCAGCGACATGGCCGCCGCCTGCTCATGGTGGAGCAGCACGGCCAGGAGTAGGAGTTGGAGGCAACGACGACTGCCGTTGCTGTTGCTTCTATGGGGGGCGAGGCCCGCACGCGATCTCGCGGTGTGCATCTTGGCGGGATCTGGTTGTGAACCGTTATGAGACATGTCCCATTGCTCGAGTGCCGCTTTTATACTTCGCAGTGCGCGCCAACGGGAAGAAGCAGAGGCAGCATTGGAGAGCTTTGCCAAGCGCAAAGAAGAAGAAAGCATTGCCATTCCATTTCCAATATACTTCGCTCTCTCTCTCGCTCTCTCTGCGGTTAGCAGCTGCGCCGTCGCAGAGCAGTCGCTGCCGCTGCCTCTCACTTACACCGAGCGGCAGAGCAGAGCTGCAGATACTTGCCTCTGCTCTGTGTGTATGCAAATGATCCGTGCTCTGCTCTCCGCTCGCGGCTCTCTTCCTTGTGAGAGTCCCCCGCCCCCGCATCAGCAGCCTTCCATCTTTCCAGCTGCTACCTTCCACTACCATTTCCATTTCCATATCCAGGTCCCCGCTCTCGCTTTCTTCGGGACACAATGCCAAAGCATAACGAAGAATGGTTGAAGAAATAAGAAGAAACAAAAACCAAAAAACTATTAACAAGATCAACAGATATAACCGAAAATGATAATATATTTGATAGCTAAATTATTCCTACGGGTTTCATCCGTTTGAATCTTATGAATAAAAATAGATACATCTTATATAACTGTATACTTGGATAAGATTCTTTTTTTTATATAAACAAGAAAGATATAAGATATATCCAGATATAGTCTAAAATAAAAGGATTCAGAGAGGATCTATACCAAATAAGGTTTTGTTTGAGGGTTAAACAAGATATTTTATTTAGTTATTAGTTTAATTAGTTTAACATGATTTCTTAGATAATACAAATTACAAAACCTTTCATAATGATTAATAAATGTTTAATTAGAGGGAGATGAAGCATTCCAGGCTTACTAGAATAAAATTAAGTAATACATAGTATAAACCAGTATAAACAATAAATAGTATCATATTAATTCAGTTAGTTACTTTAAAAAATAGTGAACATAATATGAATATTTTTCAAACTGATCCTAGAATTGATTCTCAAGGGTTTTATATTGCTTTAACTCGAAAAAATGTGGAAACAATTCGATAGGTCTTCAGCCTGACTCTTCTGATTACAAGAACCCCATAAATATATATTTATATTATATCATATTTATTATATAAACCCCATTTTTATATTTTCAATTATAAATTCCACAAGAAAAGAGAGCTTGTTTTGCTTCATTTCTGCATTTAAAAAATGAAATATAAACATTTCCTGGCATTTCTCTGCTGCCACAATTCAGAGTCCGATCGATAAATGCCTCTGGCTTCCGTAAATAACTTTTCCTCATTTAAATATTGATCCGGATCGCCGTAAGTGCCCATCCAGCACTCAAATCAACATCATCGACTTTCTACAGACTCCACGGATCGCACAGATCATTCTGGATTTTCTGCATTTTAATTTTGCAAATCGATCGATGAATCACGATGATCACCTTAATTCGTAATCGATGTCAATTGGCAATTGCGTGTTAATTGCTTCCAATTTGCATTTAAAAATATACATATTTCGAAGGTGCAGGACATACGAGATACATTTGTATCTGCATCTTGAAGATACGCAGCTCGTTGTAATTGTTATTGTTGCGCTGGTGCTGGTGCTGAGTTAAAAGTTTCCAATTTGCTCATTGACATGATTTCATCTCCACTCTTATTTATATGTACATTTTATTTGTGTGGAATGGTACGAGTATTACCCACGCTCTGCTCTCTAATCAACCGCACCTCGCCGTCCTCTTGTCATCGTCATCGGCATCGTCATGTCTTTGGAGCACAAACAATTGCTCTTGCTGCCGTCCGGCGCTCCTTTCACTTTATAATAAGTAAGTGGAGTTTATCACAAATGACAATTGAGGAAGGCGAGAGTTCAAGTAATTGCAAAGCTCAAATCACAGCCCCGGGCCCCCATCCATCCATCCATCCATCCATCCATCGGGGGAGGTCAAGTAGTGAAATTGTCCTTAATATTTAGTTTAATTAATTTGCTGGCAAAGTGGTTCCTTTGATACTTGATTTGCAAAACTTGAAGCACCTGCCGCCTGTCTATTGATTCACAAAACTGTGCAAATTAGTGCAAATCAGTGCTAATTTATTGACAATTTACTGTTGTTTGTTTAGTGAACTATTAAAAATGTCTCACAAACTATGTGTGAATTGGTAAACTAATCACTTTTGGCAATCATTTACTGTTTGGTCTTACAGAAAACATAAAAGTCTAGGTATATCAAATCGATATTTTTAAATGCCAAGGCTTTTGTGTAAATCAATGTTTTTCGAATATCACAACTAAGCCAAAAATGCATTAATTTCGATTCGGAAAGCCGTTCTGTTCTAGTTTTTAATAGATTAATAAATCTGCATACCTAAATTACACTTTTAAACTATTCCAAATTTTGACGATTTTTCAATATGTTAACAATGAAAAAACGTCTCAAAAATTGTGGAAAATAATTTTCAAAAATTTGTTTCTCTGTTTTATACCCAGAAAGATTCGCCTGTTAATGCTGATCAAGAATATATATGGAATATAGGGTCGCAAATGACTTCTTCACTTATTTTTAAGCTTCTGACTGAAATAACAATACCATTTTTTAACCAATATTTCGATATTTTTATAAGTTAATTTATTCTACAAATCAAGGTTTAAAAAACTCATAACTATGTCAAAAATCCATTAATTTCGATTCGGAAAGCTGTTCTGTTCTAGTTTTGAATAGGTTAATAAATCTGCATACCTAAATTACACTTTTAAACTATTCCAAATTTTGACGATTTTTCAATATGTTAACAATGAAAAAAAAAACGACTTAAAAATTGTGCAAACATTTTTTCAAAAATTTGTTTCTCTATTTTATACCCAGAAAGATTTGCCTGTTAATGCTGATCAAGAATATATATGGAATATAGGGTCGCAAATGACTCCTTCACTTATTTTTAAGCTTCTGACTGAAATAACAATACCATTTTTTAACCAATATTTCGATATTTTTATAAGTTAATTTATTCTACAAATCAAGGTTTAAAAAACTCATAACTATGTCAAAAATCCATTAATTTCGATTCGGAAAGCTGTTCTGTTCTAGTTTTGAATAGGTTAATAAATCTGCATACCTAAATTACACTTTTAAACTATTCCAAATTTTGACGATTTTTCAATATGTTAACAATGAAAAAACGTCTCAAAAATTGTGGAAAATAATTTTCAAAAATTTGTTTCTCTGTTTTATACCCAGAAAGATTCGCCTGTTAATGCTGATCAAGAATATATATGGAATATAGGGTCGCAAATGACTCCTTCACTTATTTTTAAGCTTCTGACTGAAATAACAATACCTTTTTTTAACCAATATTTCGATATTTTTATAAGTTAATTTATTCTACAAATCAAAGCTTAAAAAACTCATAGCTATGCCAAAAATGCATTAATTTCGATTCTGAAAGCTGTTCTGTTCTAGTTTTGAATAGGTTAATAAATCTGCATACCTAAATTACACTTTTAAACTATTCCAAATTTTGACGATTTTTCAATATGTTAACAATGAAAAAACGTCTCAAAAATTGTGGAAAATAATTTTCAAAAATTTGTTTCTCTGTTTTATACCCAGAAAGATTCGCCTGTTAATGCTGATCAAGAATATATATGGAATATAGGGTCGCAAATGACTCCTTCACTTATTTTTAAGCTTCTGACTGAAATAACAATACCATTTTTTAACCAATATTTCGATATTTTTATAAGTTAATTTATTCAACAAATCAAGGCTTAAAAAACTCATAACTATGTCAAAAATGCATTAATTTCGATTCTGAAAGCTGTTCTGTTCTAGTTTTGAATAGGTTAATAAATCTGCATACCTAAATTACACTTTTAAACTATTCCAAATTTTGACGATTTTTCAATATGTTAACAATGAAAAAACGTCTCAAAAATTGTGGAAAATAATTTTCAAAAATTTGTTTCTCTGTTTTATACCCAGAAAGATTCGCCTGTTAATGCTGATCAAGAATATATATGGAATATAGGGTCGCAAATGACTCCTTCACTTATTTTTAAGCTTCTGACTGAAATAACAATACCATTTTTTAACCAATATTTCGATATTTTTATAAGTTAATTTATTCTACAAATCAAAGCTTAAAAAACTCATAGCTATGCCAAAAATGCATTAATTTCGATTCTGAAAGCTGTTCTGTTCTAGTTTTGAATAGGTTAATAAATCTGCATACCTAAATTACACTTTTAAACTATTCCAAATTTTGACGATTTTTCAATATGTTAACAATGAAAAAACGTCTCAAAAATTGTGGAAAATAATTTTCAAAATTTGTTTCTCTGTTTTATACCCAGAAAGATTCTCCTGCTTATGCTGATCAAGAATATATATGGAATAAAGGGTCGGAAATGACTCCTTGACAGCATTATAAGCTTTTTACTAAATTTATAATACCCTGCTGCAAGGGTATAAATATTCGTATATATTTAGACAAAACATCCCAATTATCAGCCAAGGGTTCATAACGAACTAGAACTAATTCCAATTAGCGCCAAAACTGAGAAATGCACAGATTTCAAGCGGATTTTCGAGCCGCAAAGAGTGGAAAGTGGCAGAAGGCATTAAAAAACACCAAAAACCCGCAAAGAGGCATTCAGGCATTCAGGCAGCGCCATAAAATTGACAAAAGTATGAATGAGGTGAATGGGAGGCACTTCGGCACTCGCAATGTGCGATGTGCGATGCTTTTCAGGTAGAATCCCCCACAGAGAGCCGATGAAAGCGAGAGTGGGCAGAGCAATGTCAGTCGATTGCTGGCGGCAAAGTAACAGAAAAAAATGAAACAACTTAAAAACCGATGCACACACACACATACACCCAAGCACACACCCAAGCACACACAATAGGCGTTATTTGCGGGGGTTTCAAGGGGCCACGAACTTTCTTTCTTCTTCAATATATCGCTGACTTTTTTTCGAGTGTGTGGAGTGCCCAGTGTTTGAGGTGCACACCCACATCATCCCAATTATCTTCTTATACTTCCCAATTTGGGAACAATGGATACCAGGGGGAAGGTGAGGGGATGAGGGAGGAGCACTTGACAGTCGATAACATTTGACAAGGGTTGCCTCTGCTGCTGCTTTTGCTGCTGCTGCTGCTGCTGCTGCGTACAGCGTCATTTTCACAGCGAGTTTGTCGCCTAAGTCTTTCGTTTTTGTTCCCCTTTTAAGCCACTTTGGAGTTGTTTTTCTCCATTTTATTTTAGAGAAATTTTTGGAAACAGCTAATAATTCAAAGATAATATGCTTGCAATTTTTACTTGATATTTTAAATTAAAAATTATAATTTGCGAATTATAATAATAATATAATATAATAATAATAATATAATATAATAATAATATAATATAATAATAATATAATATAATAATAATATAATATAATAATAATTTAATATAATAATAATTTAATATAATAATAATATAATATAATAATAATATAATATAATACTAATATAATATAATAATAATATAATATAATATAATATAATAATAATATAATATAATAATAATATAATATAATAATAATAAAATATAATACTAATATAATATAATAATAATAAAATATAATACTAATATAATATAATAATAATATAATATAATAATAATATAATATTTTAATAATATTTTAAAAATTATGTTAATCATATTTACTTGATATGTGATATCTAAAGTTAAAAATTGGCACATATTCACTTGTTATTTTAATAATCTTAATTACTTTGAATTTTAATCATATTTTAAATACTTAAAAAATTGTTATATTTTGTTGTAGTTCTGCAATCAGGTAATATTATCTCTAAATAATTTTATAATCGTTTATAATGTATCCTATCAACAATTATTTAATTTAAGCTAAATAGTCAAATTAATTATTAGAAATTGTTACCATCTTTCCAAATTTGTAGCTTAAGTCTTTCTAATTCTTAAAGGATAATAATAGCTTGGGTTCCTGTTAAAACCTTAGTTAATTAGTTTTTTAATTACATTCTTGTATACCTGAAATGTAATGCAATGTAACCTTGCTCCACTGTGCCCCGCGGGGGACATGAAGTTGTCATTGTCGCCTATACGTTTCCATTGTAATGAGGACCGACTGGTGACTGGCTTTGTTTTTCCACTGCTCTCGGTCTGGTCTGCTCTTGGCTCCGCCTTTTCCTTTTCCTGGAGGGGGGATGGTGGTGGAACGGGAAAGGGATGCTTGTGCTTGGAGGCTGTGTCGGCGGCGACAGGTATTAACGATTCCCGCAACGCGCAGCAGCCATATCTCTACCGTTAAGCTGCCACACCTTTTCCTGAAACACTTTCACATGCTCACCGCCCCCAAAAACTCAGCAAACATTGTGTTTTATTTCAGTGCGTTTTGCACAGAGTACAGAGAGATTTGTACACATTTTTCTAAATAAGTATTTCGTTTTTGCCTTGCAGATGGAGGAAACCACCGAGGCGGAGGTAGATGCAACCGTGCCGGGCTGCCGCAGTCCAATGTTCAGCAGCCGCCGCAGTACCCTTAGCCTTGGCCGCCTCAGCCACTCCTACAGCCAGCCGATCCGTCCGATGGCCAGCTACAGCGAGAAGGCGGTCGGCAGCTCACCCAAGCACCTGGTCAGCACCCTCAGCTCGCCCATCGAGCAGGTCGCCTGCAGTGTGTCCCGGGAGCATGCGCTCAAGCACGAGATTGACCAGCTGCAGGAGCGGCTCAAGGACACCGAGGAGCGCCTGGCCTCGGTGCGCCTGCAGAGCGACTCGCTGTCGCAGACGCAGCGCGCCCTGCGCGAGCACAACGGCCGCCTGCAGGAGGAGTCCGAGATGCTCAAGCTGGACGTGCAGCATCTGAACGAGTGCGCCAGTGTCCTGCGCTCGGAGCTCCAGGCGGCACGCCGAGATCGCGGCGAGGCCCTGCAGCTGCAGCGCTCGCTGCGTGCCGAGCTGGAGGAGGTGCAGCAGGAGCGGCGGCGAATGGGGGAAGGCAAGGAGAAGGATGGCAGGATCATACAGGATCTGCAGCGCCAATGCCGGGAGATGGAGCGTATACTCATGCGCAAGCATCCCGATTCTGTGTCGGCTCTCATAGGTTTGTGATTAAATGGGAAACTAATTGGGGAAGTAATATTAATGGAATCTCCCCCTTTTTAGTGGCCTCCAAAATCCCGGCATGTGTCCCCTGAATGATCAGGAGAACATGAACAGCCGCAAGCTGCTGGAGCAGCGCATTGCCCAGCTGGAGTCGGATGCCAAGGAGCAGGATCGCAAGGCCCAGCAGATCCTGGCCAATGTGCAGGCCCGCTTCAATTCCGTTCAGGCCAAGTACGAGACCCACATAGCGGACTTGGAGACGCAGGTCTTGAGGTGGGTTGAATTAATAGTTAATGTAAATATAACTACATCCCTCTCCCCCTACAGTCTCCAGGAGATCAACACAAAGCTGAACGAACAGATCGAGTCGCAGGTTCGCACCCTGGATCGCTATATGCAGAAGCGTGCCGATCGCTTCTACAACAATTGCACCCAAACGGAGCCACCATCGACTGGTGCGGAGGGGGAGCCCATTAGCGCCATCCCTGAGGCCAACTCCGCCACCACTGGTACCCAGACCAAGGCTGCAAATGGGACCAGGGATCACAGTACCAATACCATTGGCTGCCCCTCGCCGGCCCTCGTTTGCCAGCAGCCGCATCTCCATCCCCATGCCCATGCCCATGCCCATCCACATCCACATCCACCGTCGGCCAGCAGTAGCACCAGCAGCACCGCCAATTCCACACCGAACACATCGCGTCCGAATTCGAAGCAAAGCGGCAGCGGTGCCCAAAGGCGTTCGCCACTGGCTGTGAGTGGTGCTGGTGGCACCGCCTCCAAGCTGCCAATCTCTCAGTCCGAGTCCACGCTCTCCCTGCTCAGCCACGGACCCGGGTCCTCCAAGGAGGAGGCACAGCTCCTTAGCTCCGTGCGAAGCATGCGCGTCGATTTGGCCATCAAAAACAAGGCAATGCAACGCTTGACACGGGAATTGGATGATTGCAAGAAGACCATACGGAAGCTGCAGCGGGACAGGGAGGGTAGCGGCACCTCCAGCCATACAGGTGAGTTTGAGCTCGAATCCATAACCATTCCCATCCCAGTTCCAAGAGCCATGCCCTCTCCCTCTCTCTGTGTCTCTGTATCTCTCTGTCTCTCTAATTTGGTTGTGTTTGTGTCACTCGGTCGATGCCGATGGATGGCTTGGTAATTTATGGACTTTCTCTGCCCGGTCAGCAGCACGTACAGCACTGGGCTCCACTCCCCACTCCGCACTCCTTCTCCTACCCAGCTGCCTCCCTCCCTCCGGGGAGTTACCTGGCTGAGACGGCAAATAAATTGCTGGAATAAATCATTGTACGGCTGTCGACGGTGTCGGCCTTTTGACCACTTTTTGCACTCGTTTCAAACGGCAATTGCAGCGCAACTAAGCTGCTAAGCGGCCATGGCCAAGACGACACAAAACAGCACACAAACACGTTTCGACTGAACGGCTGGCCAAGATGGGGCTTAACCCCTTGAAGACCAAGAGTCATGTAGGGGCACACTTTATTATTTGGTCTTTTTGAGATCTCTTTAAATGTGTTTCTAAATTCATGAAATACATATAACAAGATATCGGTTTAGGGTGTATTACTTTAATGTTGTTAACACTTTTAAATCTTTCCTTGATATACAGATATAGTAACTTACAAATTAATTATTGAGTATTTCTTCTTCTCTTAAATATTATATTATTATTATAAACTGTAAAGCTTAAACCTTTTCTGGGGTTAAGTCCAATCGGCCAGAAAACGAAACCGAATCCACAACACTCAGTGTTGCTGTTGTTGTTGGAGACAGCTGGACAGCACATGGATGGAGCTGCCTTTGGGGAGAGGAGGAGGAGGAGGAGGGTTAGAGGGGCATCTCGGCCACTTGGTTATGTCACCTGTGCGGTCTGACGCTTATGCCTGGTGTGTGGCGTGTGTGCGCTTGTTGTTTATTTACCTTTTTGTCGATTCGGATTTGAATTTCTTGCCATCCGAAAAGAAAATTCGAAAGCGAAAGTCAAAGTCAAAGACGCGTTTGTTGTTTTCGGGTTCGGTGGACGCTGCTGGATCAGGTCTTCTCAGCCAGCTCCAGCTCCAGCTCCAGCTCCACCTTCGCCTTCGCCTTTGCCTTTGCCTCTCCTTACACACGGGTTTATAATGCCAGCTTGAGTTTGCTTATGGCCTCTTCTGCGTATTTTTGTGGCTAATTAATGGGCCGTTGCTTCGTCGCTCACATTTGTTAGTTGTGTATTTTATTGTTGTAGTTTTTTTCGTGGCTTTAATAATTGTAAATGCCAAAAGCGGACGGCTTAAATAGACATCATCAGCTTGTGTTTTAATTTCCAACGAGCGCGTGCGTGTAAGAAATGCAAACGCTCTTCATAACATTATGTTTTGGGATTATGCAATTTGTCGTAGTTTTTAATTTGTGGAAATTTCTATCTGTCCCAAAATAAATTCGACCCAGACGGGCGGCGGCTCAATGAACTCGGATTTACATAAGAGCGAAGCCTCTTCATCCTCTTTATCTAATGTCGATTAATCGGTTATTCATTCTTTTTTGCAGGCAGCAAATTGGATCTCCGCCCCCAGGCCAGTGCCATTTCGCTGCCAAGTGGCCGCCGCTCCAGTGGCTACGATCATGGTCATCATTACAGCGATCACGTACCGGCGGCCACCGAAAGCCAGGCCCTGAAGGAGGCCCAGAACAAGTACCGGCTCTTGGAGGCGGACTACAAGACGCTCCATGACAAGCGCCTGCAGGATGTGAGTCCTTGTTGATTAATCAACTAACAGCAAATGTGTGAAACGAATTCAATTACAGCTAAAGACCCTGCAGAGCGCCCATGAGCGAGAGCTGGCCACCTGCAATGAGACCGTGCGCATCCTCCAGCAGCGCCTCAACGAGCGGGAGGAGGCCTTTGCCACCCAGAAGCGACGCAAGGTGCCCGTGGATTACTATGCACTGAAAGCCAAGGTACAAAAGCCAGCAAAACCCAAACTGCAGCCAAAGGCCAGTTTTCAAGAATCAAAGAAATGAGAATTCGAAACACAGTCAAGTGGAGTTTTGATTTTGCGGGCAAAACAAAACCAAAACCAAAATATGATTCTACTGTAACTTTCCAATATATATTATATATGTGTGTATATATTTATCTGGAACATGGTTCCTTTCGTTGTCCTTGCCTCTCTTCCCCAAAGGTATCCCTGCTGGAGCGCAGACACTCGGAGCGGGAGGAGCGACTGCACATGCTGGTGGAGGCCCTGAGCAAGGGCAGACTCAATGGAGCCCTCGAGGATCTGTTGCAGGAGAACAACAACAAGTAGGAGAGAGAGTTTATTTTTAAGCCACATTGCCAGCCAAAAAGAAGAAAAATTCGTCTAGGAGTCCGTCTAAGCAGAAGAAACATCCAATGATATTTAGAATTTTAACCAGTGAAAGGATAGTGTGCCTCCGTTTGGATTGCAGCTTCAGGCCGCCGCTTCTTTCATTAAACAGATTCAACAATGTGTTCAAGGAAAGGAAACAATAACTAAATCCAACACAATTAATATAGGATTAAGATCTATGTATTTTCCTCGCGCTTGAAGCTGCAATGTGAGCTGGTAGCAAGGATATTTACAGCGACAGGATAGGGAGGATAGAACGTTATTGTAGTTCTTAGCGCCGAACGTATTGTATTTATAAAACTATCAATGTTTCGATGTAGAAATTGAATTGTTCGTTCACACAACTTGGAAAGAGAGGAAAGATGCCAGATGAAAGCGGAAAAGAGCGAATAAGAAAGAGATGGGGAGCAGTGACCGCGAAAAGACAGAAACAAATACAGCAGACCGAAGTATTCGGAGCGATCTCAACTTGAATATTATATATTTGATTTAGCGTAACGAACCCATAATTTTTTTTACCTTGCCCCTAAAACATTATTATTATTATTACTATATTGTGTGTGTGTCTGTTTTTAAGATAGAAACTTTGAAAAGTTGTTAAACAAAAGTAACGACAGGGACCGTAGATAAATGTTTATTATTCTATGATTTACACTAAGTAAAGCGATTCGAAGCATTCCATATAAACCTAACTTTTTTGAAAATTAAAAGATATAGTAAACAAATTACTTGTTTGCTTAAAATCAATAGAATTAAATAGTAAACTCTGGATTGAGATATAATTCTTTTTTTTAACAATTAATTGTGACGAATTCGTTATTAATATGTATATGTTTCTAAACAATTTGTATGTCTCAAGTGTTAAAACAAAATATAGAATAATAATTATATTTATTTTATGCGACGTTTTTGGAGCACGTACAATAATCCAAATCAACTACGGTCCCTGCCAGATAAAGCAACTGAACAAAATATAAATTAGATTAGAAAATAGACTTTTTCGAAAAAAAAAACAAAACAAAAACCAAAGACAAACTGTATCCAAGCAGGCAGAGTAGGACCTAAGAAACAAAACTCAAGAGAGAAAAATCCAAATAAAAATTAACAGTATTCCGAGACACACCAAATCCCTTACTGTATACATTAAGATATATCTAAGCACATTTGGAGTATATTAGGAGGCATTCCCTGCCACGGACATGCTGCACCACAACACTTTGGCCACCACCAGTTCCCTGAGATTGGTTCGTGGCCGCGTTCACCGTCGCCCGCTGCCAAATCGCTTCCAGGAGCACCGCCAGCGGCTGGAGAGGGCCACTAGCCGGTGGACCATCGACCGCCACGGTTGCCCGCTATGCAGCTAAATGGACTTCCGGCCTTTCCCAGGATGCCCGCCTCTTCCTGCAGCGAACCCATGAGAATGCCCACCTGCTGCTGAATCTATCGCGGATTAGGCGCATTGGCGGTACCGTTGGCCTTTTCGACGATCGCATTCCCCAGAGCCTTTCGTCGCTGCCCCATATGATGCGACGGGTCGAGGAGCTGCAGCGCCAGAACGACTTCCTGGGTCATCGGCTCATGAGTGTCCACGGGAAGCGGCAGCGGCGTTGGAACGATGGTCATCCGTTGGCCACGACCGGGAGGCGACCAGGTCTGGAGCTGGCACAGGAGCTCTCTCAGACCACTACTCAATCGTACTCCACCTGCTCTGGAGCTGCCCGGGAATAGGAGCGAGCTGCTGCGACTGCTCCGGCCCCGGATTGTCCTGTACTTTGGCCTCATGGACGGCCGTTCGCTGGGCCGGGTGGTGATTCAGCTATACACCGAGGCAGCACCGCTGGTGGTGCTCCAGTTCATTCGCACCTGCCAGCGCCAGCGGGCCCATGAGTTTGCCGTGCGCCGCATCTTCCCCAATCTCTGGCTGGAGGGTTACCTCCTCGGTTGCAACCGGCAACAAGGACACTCTGCGGATCCGCCACCCCAGCTCCGAGACCCCATGGAGTTCGATACGCGCGTGTTGAGCCACGAGCGGCACAACTGTGTCCTGTCCTGCGCCAAGGAGTACTGCGTCCATGGATTTCCCGGCGGAGCCATCAACTTTAGCATCAGCTTTAAGCCACTGCCCGCGGCCAAAGGCCAGCGGGTGGCCTTCGGCCGGGTGGTGCGCGGCGCCAAGGTCGTAGGATGCATGCAGTTGTATGGCACCAAGACGGCAAGATGGTAAGACCGCTGGTCATTACCCACTGCGATGTGTTGTAGAGAGGACGGATGCTGGATGCGATGGGCTCCTAAGGAGGCTTCTGGTGCTCTTCCTGCCAGGCGAAGACGATTCCCTAACTTATACGTGAGGAATCCTGCCTGGGGGGAGTGTCAAAAGTACTTAAGGAGCTCCTCTTCCGTCCTCTCCTCACAAGTTGAAAATTTACAGATGCGTATGGAAGTTATTGGGATTTTACGGCTTGACTCTTAATTTCCCGAATTCTTTTTATTATATTTTGTTTGTTGGTTTTTGTAAGGTTCATATTCCGTGCTTACCATTGTCACAAAATAAAATACTGACCGTTGCAGGGTAGAAACCACATACATATATTCTTGATATAAATTAATTTTAAGTTCGACAAAGTAACTTAGCCCAAAATAAATTCAAATACAACAAACCAACAACAAACAACAATCCAATTTAGCGAATTTACCATTTAAATTCTCAAGTTCTACCAGGCGAACAGAATATTCAGCAAGCAGCTAAACCGCTGATGCAAATGCTCCAAAGTAACGGTTCTTAAAAGTTGGGAACGTGAAGATCATCTCTGATTGGTCTAATCAGATGTAAACAAAGGGCGGCCATTAATTCAAAGTCCTAAGTAACGGATCTTAGAAGAGACGAACTTAAAGACCGTGTCTGATTGGTCTAATCAGATGTAAACAAAGGGCGGCCATTAATTCAAAGTCCAAAGTAACGGATCTTAGATGAGACGAACTTGAAGAAAGTCTCTGATTGGTGAATTTAAAGAGCGGCCATTAGGATTTGGAATGCTGGTGTAATGCTGCTGAGCTGCTGCCAGCCGATTCTGTTTGCCTGGTATACCAATTGTTAAATCAATCCGATTTAATGCCCATATTTATATGAAATAACAACAAATCCAACAACATACACCACAAAATTAACGAAATTCGCCATACAAACTTCTTAAAACTTGACTTTATACACCAGGCGAACAGAATATTCAGCAAGCAGCTAACCCGCTGATGCAAATGCTCCAAAGTAACGGTCTTGTAAGTTGGGAACGTAAAGATCGTATCTGATTGGTCTAATCAGATGTAAACAAAGGGCGGCCATTAATTTCAAAGTCCTAAGTAACGGATCTTAGAAGATGAACTTGAAGATCGTCTGATTGGTCTAATTAGATGTAAGTAAAGCGCGGCC